CAGAGTAGTTAGGCAAGAAAAGAAATAAAAAGCATCCAAAGGAAGAAGTAAAGCCATCTCTGTTTGCAGATGTCATATTATATAAAGAAAATCTTAAAGACTCCACCAAAATACCATTAGAACTAATAAACAAATTCAATAAAGTTGCAGGATACAAAATCAATACACAAAAATCAGTTGCATTCCTATACACCAATTATGAACTATCAGAAAGAGAAATTAAGAAAGAAATCAAATTTACAACTGCATCAGAAAGAATAAAATACTAAGGAATAAATTTAACCAAGGAGGTAAAATATCTGTACACCAAAGAGTATAAGAACAGTGAGACAGAAATTAAAGAAGACACAAATAAATGGAAAGATATTCTGTGCTTATGGACTAGAAGACATAGTATTGTTAAAATATCCATAGTATCTAAAGCAATCTACAGATTCAGTGCAACCCCTATCAAAATGCCAATAGCATTTCCCACAGAAATGGAAAAAAATACTAAATATTGTACAGAACAACCAAAGACCCCGAAAAACCAAAGCAATCTTGAGAAAGAAGATCAAAGCTGGAGGTATAACACTCCCTGATTTCAAAACTATATTACAAAGCTGTAGCAATCAAAATAGTATGGTGTTGGCATAAGAAGAGATATATAGGCTAATAAAATAGGATAGCTCAGAAATAAACCCATGCATATATGGTCAGTTTATGACAAAGGAGCCAAGAATATGCAATGAGGAAAGAGAGTCTCTTCAATAAATGGGGTTGGGTAAACTGGACCACTATCTCACACCATACAAAAAAATAAACTTAAAATCGATTAAAGACTTGAATGTAAGACCTGAAACCATAAAACTCTAGAAAAAAATAGGTGGTAAGCTCCATGACATCAGCCTTGCAATGATTTTTTTTGGATTTAACATCAAAGGCAATAAAAACAAGAAGTAAATAACTGTACTACATTAAACTAAAAAGCTTCTGTACATCAAAGGAAACCATCAACAAAATGAAAAGGCAACTCATGGAATGGGAGAAAATATTTACAATCATATATCTGATAAGGAGTTAATATCCAAAATGTATAAAGAACTCGTACAACTCAATAGCAAATAAAATTTAAAAAAAATGGACAGAGGAACTGAATAGACATTTTTCCAAAGAAGGCATACAGATGGCCAACAGGTATGTGAAAGTGTTCAGCATCACTAATCATCAGGGAAATGCGAATCAAACCCACAATGAAATACCATTTCACACCTGTTAGAATGTCTGTCATCCAAAGGACAAGAGATAACAAGTGTTGGTGAGGATGTGGAGAAAAGAGAATCCTTGTGCACTGTCGGTGGGAACATAAGTTGGTGTAGCCACTATGGAAAACAGTGTGGGGATTCCTCAAAAAATTAAAAATAGAACTACCGTATAATCCAGCAATTCCACTCCTGGTTATATATACAAGGGAGATAAAATCATTATCTCAGAGATATCTGTACCCCCATATTCATTGTATTTGTAATAGCCAAGACAGGAAAACAACCTAAATCTCCACTGATGGATGAATGGATTTTAAAAAGTTGTGGCACATATACTGTACAACAGAATATTATTTAGCTATAAAAAAAGAAAGCAGTCCATTTATGACAACACAAATGGACCTTGAGGGCATTATACTAAGTGAAACAAGTTTGACAGAGAAAGATAAATACTATATGATCTCACTTGTATGTGGAATCTAAAAAAATCTGACCTTATTGAAACAGAACAGATTGGCGGTTGCTAGAGGCAAGCGGTGTTAGGTGGGGATGGGAGAAATGGGTAAAAGTGGTCAAAAATACAAACTTGCAGTTATAAGAAATAAGTTCTGGGAATGTAACTTACCGCATGGTGACTATTAACAATACTGTTTTGTGTATTTGAGCTGAGAGAGTCAATCTTAATAATTCTCAGCATAAGGAAAACATTGTAACAGTGTGTGGTAATAGATGTTAACTAAATTTATTGTGGTAAATGTTTTGCAGTATATACACATATCAAATCATTATGTTGTATACCTTAAACTAATACAATATTGTATGTCAATTATATCTCAATGAAACAGAAAAATAAAATAGACTTTTGATATTTTCAAAAAATATTTTGCTGGATTTGATTTGCTAGTAGTTTGTTAAGGACTTTTGTATCTTATTAATGAAGAATATTGTTCTCTAGTTTTATTTTTACGCAATGTCTTCTCTGGGTTGTTATCAGGATGACAGTGGTTTCATAAAAAGAGTTGAAGTTTTTCTTTTCTATCTTCTAAAAGACTTTGTTTAGGCTTGGTATTATTTCTTCCTTAAATATTTGATAATATTTATCAGTAAAGCCATCTGGACCTGGAGTATTCTTTGAAGGAAGGTTATAAATTATAAACTCAAACTTTAAATTATTATAGTGCTATTCAGATCTTCCATTTCTTCTTGGGTCAGTTTTGGTAATTTGTGTCTTTCAAGGAATTTGTGCATTTCATCAGATTTATTGGCATAATATAGTTCATACAATACTATTCCCTTATTATTATTTTAATTTCTGTAGTATCTGTTGTGTTGTCCTCTTTTATTTTTGACATAGTTAATTTGTATCTTCTCTCTTTCTTGATCATTCCAGCGAGAGGTTTATCAATTTTATTAATTTTTTTAAGCAACTGGCTTTTGGTTATAGATTAAAAAATATATATTGTTTGTCTGATTTCTATGTCATTGATTTCTGTTCTATATCATTTCCTTCATTCTAGTTTAATTGGGTTTAATTAACTCTTTTCTTTCTTGTTGAGGTTTAAGTTTAAGGTGTAAACTTTGATTTTATACTTTTCTTCTAATGTAAGTATTTAAAGTAAAATTTTCCCTCTAAGCCCTGTGCTGCATTCCACTAGTTTTGATATATTTTCATTATTCTTCAGTCCAAAATATTTTCTAGTATCCCTTGTGATTTTTTCCTTGATTTGTGGTGTATTTTAAAATATGCTGTTTAGTTTCCAAATATTTTGAGGTTTAAAAAATATCTTTCTGTTTGATTTCTAATTTAATTTTTTTGTGGTCATAGAAAATAGTCTGTGTGATTTAAATTCTTTTAAATTTATTGGAAATTGTATAGGCCTGCATATAGTCTCTTAGTTAAAGTTCAATGTGTGCTTGAAAAAGAGTGTGTATTCTTGTATTCTTGGGTGTACTGTTCCATACGTGTCAATGAGGACAAGGTGATTGATAATATTGTCTAAATCTTCTGTTTCTCCTACTTTGAAGGCATGACTCTTTTGGGGTTTCTACTGAATGTCTTCTACATTTAACAAGGTCTCTTTAGCTGGTGGGATCATAAGTGAGTCCCACCCATGTGTAAACTATGAGAATTAGTTGTCTTACAGCTTCCCAGTATTTGACTTTCCCCAGATGTTCTTTGTTCACCTTCATGGTGTTTCACATTACAAGTGTACAAATTAATACTCAGCCAAAAACTCAAGACAGCCCTATATAGATTTCTTTGTGTAGCTCTGATAGTCTTTACCACAAAATTCTAGCCATTCTGGCCTCTGTGAAATCTGATTTCTGGGATTCCAACCCTACTCCATAGTATGGTAATTTCCTCCATGCAGAAACTAGAAGACAGTAAGGATTACTTATTTTGTTTCACTTTTCTCAGGAATTACAGTCCTGTGCTGCTTATCATTCAATGTCTGAACATAGTTGTTTTATATATTTTTGTTCAATTCTAGTTATTTGTAGCATGAGGATAATTATGGGCTGTGTTTCTCTCACATGGCAAGAGCAGAAGTATTTTGTTTCTTCCTTTCCTTCCTTTCCTTTCTTTCCTTTCCTTTCATTAAAAATATTAATCTTTCCTTTTAGTGCTGTTATACACAAATGAACAATTGTCAGTTAATACATTAGATGGCATGCGTTTCCTTTGCTATACGCATGTTTGCTTTCCCCTAAAGGGCTGACTGAAGCTATATGCTCATGTTGACAGACAGGCTTCACTTTAAAGAATTAGGTAGGTTAGGGCCTCCCAATGAAGATCCCCTCCAGTGGGGTGCCAACCCATAACATAACTACCTTAGTATTTCCCAAGCAGAGAGGTCAGTTTCTGTAGAGATTAGTACTTCAGTTTTAGTTTATGTATAAGGTTGCTACTGCCTTGCATGTGTGTAGATGGGAAAGCTGGGAGGGCTCAACTGGTTCAGGCATTCCTTTTCAATGCTCTAATTAATTTTACCAAATAATGTCTAGCATTCCCTGCTCCATACCTGCTCCATCTTTGCTTGGAGCCTCCTAGGAACTCTATCAAGAAGACCCAATCCAATTCTCTTTATAGCCTTTTCCTGGGGGTATCTGGGACTAGAGTTTTCATTGGTCTGGTTTATCCATTAATACAATTTCATCTTCTTTCTGTCTTCTAGAAATGTATCTCTATCACTAGTTTGCTCATGGTTTTCTATCCCATTCTCAGCTTTCCTAGTGATTTACTTCCTTTGACACCCCACAGTGCTATTTCCATAGAATGTGAGAAAAGAGAGGGAGGTAAATACATATATACTCATGCTATCATTTTGAATCACATGCCTTTTTTTGAAAATGTTATGACAAACTTTATGACAATCGTTTATGTTTTTTAAAAACTTTAACATTTTAGTGATTAAAAAAACCCCAACGAACCTGTATCCAAAGCGTAATTTCTATTGAGGGAATAAATAACAGTGTTGATCTAAATTACTTTGAAGTTAACCAAAGCCTAAGAATGATTCAGATTATTTCAGCACCATCTAGTTGATTATTTTTTATTTATTACTTATTATTTTGCTTGAGTGGCTTTAAAAATAGCCATTAACATAAAAAAAATCTTGGGCTCTATAGGAAAAGGCAGCACCACAGACTCAGAATTATGCTTTTGCTTCATGATTAAATTTGATTATATGCCTAAAGTAGACAAATTAGAGTTTATTGTCACGTTTATGGCTGAGTTTTCTGTTTTTCTGATAGGTACAAGAGTAAACCTGATGATGACTATGAAGATCCCAAAGATGTTCAAGCCATCAAAGAGGCCCAGTTGTATATGGGAGACTTCAATTTGAAGACAGCCCCAGACTATAAGATACCTGAACACATGAGAGTAAATGCTGCCAAGAAGGAAGAGGAACTGGGATACCTTGACTCTATGGTACTTACCCATAGCTTTCATGACAATGAGCCACACACCCTGGATTTTTTTTTTTTTTTCAATTGAATTCTGCTGAAACCACCTATTTTGTTAGCTGGTCCATAAAGATATATAGTCGTAGAAATTTAGAATTGGAAAAGGCCTTCATGATTATCTAGAATAATGCCCCTTTTTACAAATGAGGAAATTGAGTCCCAAAGATAAGAGATTTATTCATGACTATTTAGTTAACATGGCAGAACCAGCCTTCAAATTAATTACTTGGTTCAATACCAGTTTCATGAGTGAAGGCATTATATTTTATGAACTTTGAATCTCTGAAATTCAAACACATCCTTGTTGGCTATTGTTTTTGGCTGCTGTGGACCACCAAGACTTAGGAAAATAGACCACTGTATTTAGCCTTTGTTTGAAGGACTTCCAAACTTTTGTAGGTGACTCTACTGAGCATTTAATATGTTCCTTTTTGATTCTCTCTGCATTTCCCCAAACTGCTTCTAATCATCCTGATTTCTCATACCTGTTTTCATCCTAAAGTTTCCTCTCCCTGTCATAGTAATTCCTTGCTTTGAATTGACAAGTGACTTTTCACACTTAGAGGCTCAGAAGGCATCTGAACTACCATTTTGAGGAGAATTTTGTATACGGCCACCTAGTATGGCTGTGCAGGTTGCCCATTTCAAGGCATCACATTGAAAAGAGTGCCAATCATACCACAGATAGAGCATGTTTGAATATTTTATAATTTTCTGACAAATGGAAGTATAAAGTGTCTTGAGGAAGGAGCATCTTTTTCTGTTTCACCAAAGATGCTGTACATGCCAGCACTACAAAGATCCTGGTATGGCGATTCATAGCCACAAGTAAATTTTCAGAGCTCATACCTATAACTTTCTGATCAAATGGACATTTTGAACATTTTATTAGTGACCGTTTGGATTGTTTTTCTATCTGTTTGTCTAAGGCAATTCTTGTTTCAACTGTCATGTTTCATCCATTGTCATAGACAAATGTTCTTTTGATCACAATTTGCCAGTCATCCCACCTGAAATTTCATAGTCCAGGTAGAGGTGATGGACAGGTGTGATGTCTTGAATGGAACTGCATTGTACTGAAATCTATTTTATTAAAATGACAGCATTAAATAATGCAGAGCACACAATTCTACTGGTCAGAAGATCAGAGTTCTGTTCCAGTCTCTGCCACTTTATAGTTATATGAACTTGGATAGTCATGTAACTCTCCCTAAGCCTCAGTTGTATTGTCTGTTTAAACAAAAAAAGGTATTACTACCAATGAACAACAGTAATACAAGACATGTCTAGTCTTCTTCATAGGGTTAAAGTAATGGTCAAAGTCAATAAACAGTCATGCTTATCATGGTTAAGTTCAAAGTCACTGAAAAGTATCAAGCATTTTAGAAGTTGTGTATTATACATTCCCCCCCCCCCACCGCCTCCTCCCCCACCTCCCCCATCCGTGGCTAGTGTTTAGGTGTGTGGTATTTGGAAAATTAGAAAGAGAGGCTTGGTATGTAAATTGGGCTCCTAAAAGAGGTAGGCCTTACAGCCACCAGGCTGGTTTGGATTTGTTCTCCACTTAATTCTCGGTCCTCCAGGTACTTCAGAAGTGGTCCCCCACTCACCCAAGGGCTGGATTTTGAGTTTAAACCCTAATGCTTTAAAGGTTTGTTCTTAAGTATGTAAAACATCTCCTCTATTTTGTTACAGTAGATAGTAAATATACAGGTAAGTTTTGTAAGACGACTTGAAGAAATGCCTTTTGATCTTTTATTTTTCTTAACCTGTATATTTATGCAAAGTTACTCTTAACAGCCTTTGGGCCGTCTAGTTGCCTAACTGCACACCAGGAGCAGGGTTGCATGTGACTGGAGGCTCTGGTCAGGGCATTTAGGAAACACAGCCTGGGGAAAGAGCTGGCAGTGAGGGAGCAGTGGGCCTGTTTGGCACCTGTGACTGGAGGCAGGGGCATAGCTGGGCTCGGATGAGTGGAGAAGGAACCAAGGAAGAGTCCAGGAAACTCTTAGTGTGACATGGTACTGGAATTCAGGATCGTGACCTTGCCTGCACAAGGAGTAACAGAAAGAACGTGGCCAAAATACAGAATGACAACAGGCTAAAGTGGCCCGAGATGGGCAACCCTAAGTGAGTCTAAGCCAATAGGATTTGAGTTTTCATCAGGGAAGGATGGTTACTGTGTGCTCCTGACCAAAGAATGGCCTTCCCTTCCCTGGGATCTGGCTGAGTACAGGGCTCAGGAAGGACTTCCATTGAGTGGTGGAAAGAGGATGGGGGAGCTCAGCCCTAGAAGCCAGCTGGGGGACACCAGAGGTCACATCCAGACTGTCTTCCCCTTATGGAGAGGTGAAATGGGGAAAAGCCTAAAAAACTAGAGAAAATAACTTAGTAGCAAACAGGAATGATCAGATAAATTTTTATCTTGAATTTTTGCTAGGCATTCCAGTCAAGGGACAAACGCAAATTGTATTTCAAGCCGCCCTTTGTGAGCAGGTTGTCATTTTGCTTTCTTCCTGTTCTTTTTATCAGGCCTATGCAAAGAAAATGCACATGAACAAGTGCATTGTCTCTCTTCGAGACCTTAAAGTGGCTGTCATCGAGGAAATACAGTGCCTGGTGCAAGAACTGAAGAACATTCAGTCGACTCTTCACGTATCCAAGCACATCCCCATTCCCCAAATCCCTCAGATATACCCAGAAGAAGTCCCAGAAAAGAGATTTCAGTATGATGAGGAAACCCTCCTAGCTTTTAAGCGGCAGCAGATGAAAAATCAGGCTGAAACGGCCCCTCGAGTGGAACAGGCAGTGTCTGCAGGCTCAGCTGGAAGCTTCCTCAGACTCTCTTCTGGAAAGGATGGGGATTTGACGACAAGTGATTCATTGTCTAGATCATCAAAAGCATCAGTATTCAATCTAGATATTCCAAAGTTCATGGAATTTGAAAGAACAGATCCAACTGAAGTGGAGCTGGAGATTATGAAGAGGGATGAGATTAAACACTTGTACATGCAACAGTATTTGATCAACAGGGTAGGAAATGAGACTGCTTATTTAAAGCTGAAGGAGAGAAGAGCAGGATAATTAAAATTAAATTATAATTTAATTTAAAATAATTAAAATTATTTTTAATTTCTCTACCTTAATCTTCCCCAAACCCTGACCAGCCCACAACTCACCGATGGCTTGGCTTTCTCCCCATCCCTGGTCTTCTGAAAGTCATTGTGCTCTGCTCAGAACTTTGGAGCTTTTCAACTTTTTTCTTTTTGGAAAGCTAAGAATTAAGGGCAAATCCATGTTAATTGGTATCTAACTAAAGTCATGGTAAGGAGAAGTGATGAAGCAGCCTTCAGATGATGGATGGAGCATAACTAAAAACCTTCCGGTGAAAATGGGGCACCCTCTGCTTTTCACCCCCTGCTCTTTCTCTAATGTGTGATTTGCCCCTTTAGTGAGAGTGTTCACGGTAATGACTAGCTTCAGAATTATTCTGGAGCTGGAATGGCAAATATTTTTATTTGTAAGAAAATCAGGACCAGGCTGGGGCCAGTTGTGTGCAGGAGGTGCTCTGAATATGGAAGGAAAAGGTCCTTTCCTGGATGGAAGTTCCCTCCTGCCAGCCATATAGAGTCGCCTTCCTCAGTGTGTCTGAAAGCAGCACCTATTACTCCCCAAACTTATTCTTCACCCATTATCTCTACTTCTTCCAGTGCTGTTTTCTCACTCTTTCTGTTTCTCCACACTTACCACCCCACTTCTGAGTTTCATATCTGTGCTTTTTTCTTTGCTATTTCCTTCTACCTACAATGACTTCTTCCAAAGTTGTCATCATTCAAAACTCAGCTCACTTCCAAACCCTCTCCAGAATCTTCTGCCCACACTACATACTCTCCTTTCTTCTAAACTCCATTTGCACTTATAATCAGCATCTTAGGTTTTGTACTTATTTTTCTTGCTGTTTTGTATGTGTTAGTTTTGTCTTACAAATTTTTAATTGAAGTATAGTCGATGTACAATATTACATGTTACACATGTATAATATAGTGATCTACAATTTTTAAAGGTTATACTCCATTTGTAGTTATTATAAAATATGCTGTGTTGTACAATATATCATTGTAGCTTATTTTTTTTAACAACTTTATTGGAGTATAATTGCTTTACAATGGTGTGTTAGTTCATTGCAGCTTATTTTATACATAATAGTTTGTACCTGTTAATCCCCTACCCTTATATTGTTCCTCCCTCCTTCCCTCTTCCCACTGGTAACCACTAGTTTGTCCTCTATATCTGTGAGTCTCTTTCTTTTTGTTATATTCACTAGTTTTATTTTTTTTTTAGATTCCACATATAACTGCTAACATATAATATTTGTCTTAACCTGGATGACTTACTTCACTACCCAAAATATCCCCCAGGTCCATCCATGTTGTTGCAAATGGCAAATTTTCATTCTTTTTTATGGCTGAGTAATATTCCATTGTATGTATGTACCACATATTTTTCCATTCATCTGTTGATGGACACCTAGGTTGCTTCCATATCTTCGCAATATCTTGTAAATAACGCTGCTATGAACATTGGGGTGCACATATCTTTTTGAATTAGTGTTTTTGGTTTTTTTGGATATATACCCAGGAGTGGAATTGCTGGGTCATAAGGTAGTTTTATTTTCAGTTTTTTGAGAAACCTCCCTACTGTTTTCCACAGGGCTACACCAATTTACATTCCCAACAACAGTGTGTGAGTGTTCCCTTTTCTCCACATTCTTGCCAAAATTTGTTATTTGTGTGTGTGTGTGTGTGTGTTTTAATGATAGCCATTCTGACAGGTGTGAGGTGATTATCTCATTGTGGTTTTGATTTGCATTTCCCTAATGACTGGCTATGTTGAGCATCTTTTCATGTTCCTTTTGGCCACCTGCGTTTCTTCTTTGGAAAAATGTCTATTCAGGTCTTCTGCCCATTTTTTAATCAGATTGTTTGTTTGTTTGTTTGTTTTTTGATGTTGAATTGTATGAGCTGTTTATATATGTTGGATATTAACCCCTTGTCAGTCATATCACTTGCCAGTATTTTCTCCCATTCAGTAGATTGTCTTTTCATTTTGTTGATGGTTCCCTTTGCTGTCTGAAAACTTTTAAGTTTAATTAGGTCCCATTTGTTTATTTTTGCTTTTGTTTGCTTTAGGAGACAGATCCAAAAAAATATTGCTATGATTTATGTCAAAGAATATTCTGCTTATGTTTTTCTCCAGGAATTTTATGGTTTCCCAGCCTTACATTTAGGTCTTTAATCCATTTTGAGTTTATTTTTCTGTATGGTGTTAGAGGATGTTCTAAGTTTATTCTTTTACATGTAGCTGTCCTGTTTTCCCAGAACCACTTATTGAAGGGGCTGTCTTTTGTCCATTGTATATTTTTGCCTCCTTTGTCATAGATTAATTGACCATAGGTGCATGAGTTTATTTCTGGGCTCTCTATTCTGTTTCACTGATTGATGTGTCTGTTTTTGTGCCAGTATCATACTGTTTTGATCATTGTAGCTTTGTAGTATGGTCTTGAAGTCAAGGAGCATAATTCCTCCAGCTCCATTTTTCTTACTTGAGATTAGTTTGGCTATTTGAGGTCTTTTGTGTTTTCACACAAAAATGTTTTTGTTCTAGTTCTGTGAAAAATGCTATTGGTATTTTGATAGGGATTGCATTGAATCTATAGATTGCCTTGGGTAGTATGGTAATTTTAACAATATTGATTCTTCCAATCCAAGAACACAGTATATCTTGCCATCTGTTTGTGTGATCTTCAATTTCTTTTATCAGTTTCTTATAGTTTTCCGAGTATAGGTCTTTTACCTCCCTAGGTAGATTTATTTCTAGGTATTTTATTCTTTTTGATGTGATGATAAATGGGATTGTTTCCTTAATTTCTCTTTCTGCTAGTTCCTTGTTAGTGTATAGAAATGAAACAGATTTCTGTATATTAATTTTGTATCCTGCAACTTTACTAAATTCATTGATGAGCTCTAGTAGTTTTCTGGTGTTGTCTTTAGGATTTTCTATGCATAGTATCATGTCATCTGCAAACAAGGACAGTTTTGCTTCTTCTTTTCCAATTTGGATTCCTTTTATTTCTTTTTCTTGTCTGATTGCTGTGGGTAGGACTTCCAATACTATGTTGAATAAAAGTGGCAAGAGTGGGCATCCTTGTCCCTCTTCCTGATCTTAGAGGAAATGCTTTTAGCTTTTCACCTTTAACACATTTTTGACCAGAGGCATATTATGGCCACAGGCATTAGTTTCTGCAAAGATCCCCCAGTCAATAATGTGTTAGCTATGGGTTTGTCATATATGGCCTTTATTATGTTGAGGTATGTTCCCTCTATGCTCACTTTTTGGAGAGTTTTTATCGTAAATGGATGTTGAATTTTGTCAAAAGTTTTTCTGCATCTATTGAGATAATCATATGTTTTTTTTTTTAATTTGTTAATGTGTATCACATTGATTTGTGGATATTGAATTATCCTTGCATCCTTGGAATAAATCCCACTTGATCATACTGTATGATTATTTAATGCATTGCTGGAATCAGTTTGCTAATATTTTGTTAAGGACTTTTGCATGTATGTTCATCAGTGACATTGGCCTGTAATGTTCTTTTTTGTGTGATATCTTTGCCTGGTTTTGGTATCAGGGTGATACTGGACTCACAGAATGAGTTTGGAAGTGTTCCTTCCTCTGCAATGTTTTTGGAATAGTTTTAGAAGGATAGCTGTTAACACTTCTCTAAATGTTTGGTAGAATTCATCTGTGAAGCTCTCTGGTCCTGGACTTTTGTTTGTTGGGAGTTTTTAAAATCACTGATTCAATTTCAGTACTGGTAATTGGTCTGTTCAATTTTCTATTTCTTCCTGGTTTCCTTTTGGGAGATTGTACATTTCTAAGAATTTGTCCATTTCTTCTAGGTTGTCCATTTTGTTGTTATATATAGCTGTTAGTAGTAGTCTCCTATGACCTTTTGTATTTCTGTGGTGTCAGTTTTAACTTCCCTTTTTCATTTCTGATTTTATTCGTTTGGGCCCTCTGCCTTTTTTTCTTGGTGAGTTTGGATAAAGGTTTATCAATTTTGTTTGTCTTTTCAAAGAACCAGCTTTAGTTTCATTGATTTTTTTCTATTTTTTTTTAGTCTCTGTTTCATTAGATACAATTCTAGGATTCCCCTGAAGTGTCTAGGACAATGCAAGACATATAGTAGATATTCAGTAAAAAGTTTTAATTGATTTAATTTTAACTATTAATTTAACAAATATTTATTGGACATTCTATGTGCAGAAACAGTGCTAGCTAGGTAGTAGGGATGAAACAATTGTCAAGTCATACACATTCTCTATCCTATACAGCTTACAGGCTATGAGGGGTAGTGAGAATAAAACAAGCATAACCCTTACAACCTTGGACACCTATGTGGTGTAGTTGCAGAATGGTGTTGCACTGAAGAAAACATAGTGCTTCCTCCAAAGAAATTTAAAAATAATTCAAATTTGTTGAACAAGTATTAAAGTGGAACCCAGTTAGCCTACAGTCATACATTAAAAGTTTAATTTTTCTTCTCCTTGGTTTGTTGGGTTTTTTTGTTTTTGCTTTTTAGCTCTCTGAAATTCTCCAGCAGTTTCACAGACCCAAACCCACAGATATTTTCCTCTTTCTCAGCCCCAGGCTGAGCCCTCACTCATTATAGGCATTTGATAGTCGAGGCTCCCCATTCAAGTACAGCCTAATGAAAAACATGGAATGGTTTGTCTTTTTCCTGGTGTACTAGTTTCATTGGGAGAATCAGCTCTTTGGGCTCTCTGTTGATCTCTTCATCTCCTTTGTGATGGGGCAAGGGAGACGCTGTGTCAAAATCAAAGTAAAATTGAGGATTTAAAATCATTTGAAATTGCAGTGGAATAAAGTCTAGACCAGGACATGAGATATTTGGGTTCTTTTTTTTATTTTTTTATTATTTTTTTAATTTTAATTTTTGTCTGTATTGGGTCTTCGTTTCTGTGTGAGGGCTTTCTCTAGTTGCGGCAAGCGGGGGCCACTCTTCATCGCGGTGCGCGGGCCTCTCACTATCGCGGCCTCTCTTGTTGCAGAGCACAGGCTCCAGAAGCACAGGCTCAGTAGTTGTGGCTCACGGGCCTAGTTGCTCCACGGCATGTGGGATCTTCCCAGACCAGGGCTTGAACCCGTGTCCCCTGCATTGGCAGGCAGATTCTCAACCACTGCGCCACCAGGGAAGCCCAATATTTGGGTTCTTATCCAAGCTCTGTAACAAATTTGATCTCAGGGAAGTCACTTTTAGTCTCAATTTCTTCATCTGTAAATAAACCAAGAAGATTGTACAGGTTTCTTGTGGCTCCGCAATTATATTTATCTGTTTAAAAATATTTACTGTTCTGTAGATTTAAAACTTTTCAAAATAAGAAGGTGAGGAAAATATTATTTTAGTGCTTACTGTGTGAAGGGCCGTGTAGAGATACCATGGGGATAGAGTGGAGACAGACACAATACTACCCACAAAGAGCTCACAGTCTCTGATTTAAACCAGCAAGAAGGACATTCTTTTTTTTTTTTTTGTGGTACACAGGCCTCTCACTGTTGTGGCCTCTCCCGTTGCGGAGCACAGGCTCCGGACGCGCAGGCTCAGCGGCCATGGCTCATGGGCCCAGCCGCTCCGCGGCATGTGGGATCTTCCCAGACCAGGGCATGAACCCGTGTCCCCTGCATCGGCAGGCGGACTCCCAACCACTGCGCCACCAGGGAAGCCCTAAGAAGGACATTCTTGATCAATGGCTTAATCAATGGTGAAGAAACAGTTCGAAGGACTGCAGTTACAGAATACCTACCACTTAATAAACCAGTTCATCAATGGTATTAAATGTACATAAATTAAATTATGAGACTGTATACACACCCATGTGCCCCACCCACCCGCCCTTGTAATTCTCCATCCATAATAAGGGCATAATAAGAAAATGCTTTTACCCAAACAAATCAGTATTGTTGGATAGTTTTAAAAATGCATGTACCTGTTTTAAACTTCTAACATACCCTCAAATCTTTTTCCACCTCAGATCAAAGAACTGATTGTCACTTTTGATGCAGAACTCCGTCTCCTGAGACATCAGAAACTGAAACTAGATACTCAGATGAAATTATCTGACCTGCACCATGTCACATTATTTCAAGAAATGCTTCTCCTGAAGAATTTTGAGAAACAGGAGAACATACTTCAAGAGCGTGTTAATTCATTAGACAAAGAGGAACAGGACATGCAAGTATGAATGGGCAGAAGAGTGCTAGCTGGCTACAGCCTTAGTTATGGAGGGGACTTGATTCTTCTTTTCTTTCTTCTTCTCAACTTAATTTCCCCCCTTGTTCTAGTCCACATCTCTTTTTTGTCTTCTCTTCCTCCTCCTTTTCCCCGTTATTCCTGTTTGCTCTCTGTTTTTGGTAGCTGTGCTCAGGGAGAAGTGAATCATACTTTTTAATGAATTTGATCTGATATTTTGTAAGGTAGGAGAATAAATTTTTCAAAAGTGACCCTTATGTTTAGTTTACCTAATTAAAAGTCTGTTTTTGTTGTCAGTAGCTATCATGTGAAGTTGAGTTTTGATTATATATTATCCTTATGAATGAACATACTTGGAAAAGAAGTTGGTAAATTTCTTAAATATTATAGCTAGTTTTAGAGTAATAAATAATTGAATAGCACAGGAAATTAAGTTTATTTGTTACATATATGTTAAATTTAAAGAGATTAATTAGACCATCTATCTTTGTCTTAAAAGAAGAAGGATTGTATTAGATAATACGTACTCAGTAGTGATGTCAGTTTTTAGGTATATCAGTTTCACTAAGAGCAGATGTGCCTTTTTGTATTAGTTATCTTGTATTGATATGAAAAAAACTTTTTTGAGACCACACATGGAAGAATACTAGCTGATATCCACATATCAGTAAAAATTTCAATTTACCTAATTTAATTTCTTGAGGAAGTTAGACGTCAAAGAATCGATCTTATCTGATTCTGAACGTAACTGATTTTTACAAAAGAATTATAAAATTTTAATCAAATAAATGAATGACTCTGCATTCAGAAACATCAGAAATGTAAACTTCTATTAAGAAGCTTCAAAAATGTTTGTAGGCTATAACCTTACATTGTAATGTACATTGTTCTCTGAACCTGGTTTATCAGAAATATTTGTCATTTGTTCTTATTTTTTGTTCGTTTAGTGGAAAATAAATGAAACTCTTAAAGAGATGGAAGAGAAAAAGAATGAAGTCGCCAAGGTCCAGGACCAAGAAAAGGCACTCTATGCTGGTTTCCAAGCAGCCCTTGGAGAAAACAATAAATTTGCCAACTTTCTCATGAAGGTACTAAAGAAGAGGATTAAGCGGGTGAAGAAAAAGAAGGTTGAAGGAGATGCTGGTTTGTATTTCTTTTTACGTATGATCCTATTTTTTTCTCATTAGCATGAAATAGAGAAATAACTAAGGGAAATAGTACACCCTTTTATTTCACTACAACATAGACAATGTAGAGGCACTATGGGGTTACAGAAGAGAGGATATAAACCTTTAGGTCTCTAACCATCTGGATTGTGTGTGTGTGTGTGTCTGTGTGTATCTGGTATAAGATATCATAGGATAGTTTCATTTAACAAGCACGCCTTTTCATATGTTTATTTGCCACCTGTATATCTTTGGTAAAATGTCTCTTCATGTCTTTTGCCCATGTTTGAATAGGATTGTTTGCTTTGGTACTGTTGAGTTTTGAGAGTTCTTTACATATTACACCTACTAGTCCTTTGTCAGATATGTGGTTTGCAAATATTTTCTCCTGGTCTATAGCTTGTCTTTTCATTCCCTTAACAGAGTTTGCAGAGCAATAGTTTTGAATTTTGTTAGTGTCCAGTTTGTAAATTTTTCCCTTAAAATTATTTTTCTTGGGCTTCCCTGGTGGCGCAGTGGTTGGGAGTCCGCCTGCCGATGCAGGGGACACAGGTTCATGCCCCAGTCCGGGAAGATCCCACATGCTGCGGAGCCGCTGGGCCCATGAGCCATGGCCGCTGAGCCTGCGCATCCAGAGCCTGTGCTCCGCAATGGGAGGGGCCACAACAGTGAGAGGCCCGTGTACGCAAAAAAAAAATTATTTTTCTTCTTTTAAATTGAAGTATAATTGATTTACAATGTTGTGTTAATTTCTGGTGTACAGCAAAGTGACTCAGTTATACACATATATACACTTTTTTAATATTCTTTTCCATTATGGTTTATCATAGGATACTGAATATCATTCCCTCTGCTATACAGTAGGACCTTGTTGTTTATCTGTTCCATATATAATAGCTTACATCTCCATCTTGCCCCCATCACCCTCCCTCTTGGCAACTACAAGTTCTCTATGTCTGTGAGTCTGTTTCTGTTTCGTAGGTAGGTTCATTTGTGTCATATTTTAGATTCCACGTGTAAGTGATAGCATATGGTATTTGTCTTTCTGAGTTCACTTAGTATGATCATCTCTAGTTGCATCCATGTTGCTTCAGATGGCATTATTTCATTCTTTTTTATGGCTGAGTAGTATTCCATTGTATATATGTACCACATCTCCTTATTCCATTCATCTCTTGATGGACATTTAGGTTGTTTCCATGTCTTGACTATTGTGAATAGTGCTGCTATGAACATAGGGGTGCATGTATCTTTCTGGATTAGAGTTTTGTCTGAATATATGCCCAGGAGTGGGATTGCCGGATCATATGGTAATTCCATTTTGAGTTTTCTGAGGAACCTCCATACTATTCTCGTAGTGGCTGTACCAACTTACATTCTCACCAAGAGTGTAAGAGAGTTCCTTTTTCTCCACGCCCTCTCCAGCATTTGTTATTTATATAGTTTTAATGATGGCCATTCTGACTGGTATGAAGTGATACCTCATTGTAGTTTTGATTTGCATTTCTCTAATAATTAGTGATGTTGACCATCTTTTTGTGTGCCTATTGGCCGTTTGTATTTCTTCTTTGGAGAAATGTCTATTTAGGTCTTCTGCCCATTTTTTGATTGGGTTATTTTTTGTTGTTGAGTTGTATGAGCTGTTTGTATATCTTGAGTTTTTCCCTTTTTGGATCTTGTTATGGTGTCAAGTCTGAGAACTCTTTGCCTAGCCCTAGGTCCTAAAGATTTTCTCCTATTTTTTTCTAAAAGTTTTATCATTTTACATTTAAGTCCGTGATCCATTTGGAGTTAATTTTTGTATAAGATGTGAGACTTTGGTCAAGGTTTTTTTTTCTCCTAGGAACCTCCAATTGTTCTGGCACCATTTGTTGAAAAGGCTGTCTTTCTTCCATTGAATTGCTTTTGATCTTTGTCAAAAATCATTTGGGCCTATTTGTGTGGCTCTATATCCAGGTTTTCTATTCTCTTCTATTGATTTATGTGTCTATCTCTCCACCAATACTATAGTCTTGATTATAGTAGCTATTGAGTTCTGAAATCAGGTAGACTAATTTCTCCCAGTTTATTCTTCTTTTTCAAAATTGTTTTAGCTATTCCAACTCCTATATATTTCCATATTTTAGAATTTTTTTTCTCAACCTACAAAAAATCTTGTTGGAATTTTGATAGCAATTGTGTTAAACTTCTATATCAGTCTGGGGAGAATTTGCATCTTTACTGTGTTGAGTCTTCCAATGCATGAACATAGTATGTATTTATGTAAAGCTTTGATTTGTCATCAGCATTGTGTTTTCAACATACAATTCAAGTTCATGTTTTGTTAGGTTTACACCAAAGTATTTCCCTTTTTTTTGAGTAATTTTAAAAGGTATATTGCTTTTAATCTTGGTGTCCACATATTCATACTAGTATATAGAAATATAATTGCTTTTTAGATGTTTATCTTATATCTTATAACCTTGCTTATTAGTTTTAGGGGTTTTTGATTGATTCCTTGGGAATTTCTATCTGTAAAAGGGGCCAGTTTTATTTATTTCTGGTCGGTATGCCAATTACCTTTTATTGCCTTATTGCACTGGTTAGAACATCCAGTACTATCTTGAAATAGAGTGCTCAGAGCTGATATCCTTGCCTTAGTCCAATTTTAGGGGGAAAGCATTCAATCTTTCACCATTAAGTATGCTACCTGTACCATTAAGAAACACCTGTGTTTCATAGTCTTTATCAAGTTCAGGAAGTTCCCCTCTCTTCCTATTTTTCATGAATTTTTATCATGAATGGGTGTTGAATTTTATCAGATGCTTTACTGCATTGACAATTATGTGATTTTTTTTTCTTTAGCCCATTAAGATGGTGGATTATATTGGCTGATTACTGATTACCAGATCAGACTAGCATTTCTGAAATAAATCTCCCTTGGTGTGATGTAAAATTCTTTTTATATATTGCTGAATTCTACTTGCTAATATTTTGTTAAGAAATTTTATGTCTATATTCATGAGGATCATTGTACTGTTTTTGTACTATATTTATCTGGTTTTAGTATCAGGAGAATAATAGCTTCAGAATGTGAATTGGGAAGTCTTCTCTCCTTTTTGATTTTTCTGGAAGATATTGTAAAGAATTTATGGCAATTCTTTATAAATGTTTGGTAAAGTTCTCCAGTGAAACTATTTGGGCCAATGGATTTCTTCAAGGTAGTTTTAAAATTAGAATTTCAATGTTCTTAATAGTTACAGAACTATTCAAATTATCTATTTTATATTGGGTGAGTTGTGGTAATTTGTATTTTTTGTGGAATTGGTCTATTTCACCTAAGTTAGCAAATTTATGTGCATAGAGATGTTCATTGTATTTCCTTGTTATCCTTTTAATATCTGCAGCGTCTGTAGTAATATCACCTGTTGCATTCTCAATATTGGTAAATTGTTTCTTATCTTCCTATTTTTTTTCAGTCTTGCTAGAGGTTTGTCAATTCAATTGATCTTTTTGAGAACAAATCAGCTCTTTGTATAAGTGATTTTCTCTATTATTTTTCTGCTTTCAATTTTATTGATTTCTGTTATTATCTTTACTATTAGCTTCCTTCAGCTTGCTTTGGGTTTATTTTGTACTCCTGTTTTTAAGTTTTGAGGTGGGAGCTTAAATCATTGACTTGAGAATTTTTCCTCTTTTCTAGTTTAGTACTATAATTTCTCTCTCAGCACTGCTTTAGCTGTATTCCACAAATTTTCAAGTGCATTTTCATTTCCATTCAGGTCAATGTAGTTTTAAAATTTACATTGTGACTTCTGGGTCCCATCGATTATATACAAGTGTGTTGTGTAGGTCCAAGTGTTTTGAGATTTTCCTGTTATCTTTCTGTTATTGAGTTCTAGTTTGATTCCATTGTGGTCAGAGAACACACTTTGTATCATTTCAGTTCTTTTATATTTGTTGAGATTTGTTTTATGGTCTGACATACGGTCAATCTTGGTGTATGTTCTGTGGGCACTTGCAAAGAATGTATATTGTGCTGTTTTGTGTGAAGTGTTTTATTGCCGTTAGTTAGATTCTACTGATTGATGATACTGTTCAGGTCTTCTATATCCTTGCTGATTTTCTGTATAGTTTTTGCATCAAATGTTAACAGAGGGGGTGTTGAAGTCTCCAAATATAATCATGGATTTGTCTATTTCTCCTTTCATTTTTGTCAGTTTTTGCTTCACATATTTTGCAGTTCTGTTGTTTTATGAATACACATTTAATATTGCTATGTCTTCTTGATGGATTGATACTTTTATCATTATATAAGGTCTTTTTCTGTCTTGGGTAATTTTCTTTGCTCTGAAGTCTATTTATCTTATATTAGTATAGTCAGTCCTGCTTTGCTTTGATTAATAGTTGCATAATATGCCTTGCCCCTCCTTTTAATTTCAACTTGACTATATAGTTATATTAGAAATGAATTTCTGATAGACAGCATATGGTCAAATAATGTTTTTCATCCACTCTGTCTTCTAATTGGTATATTGAACCACTTACATTTGATATATTAGGGCTTAAGTCTGCCATTTTATTTTTTATTTGTTCTTATTCTCCGTTTTCTGTGTTTGTTCTTTTTCCTACCTTCCTGTGGGTTACTTGAACATTTTTTTTGGAATTCCATTTTAATTTTCTCTAGAACTTTTTAATGTATCTCTTTGTATACTTTTTTTAGTGGTTGCTCTATATATTATTGATACATTATATATACATAATTTATTCCAGTCCACAAGTGTCATCATTTTACCAGTTTAAGTCAAGTATAGAATCCTCATCTACCTTTACATCTCTTTATCTTCCCTATTTATAATATGCTTGTCTTAAATATTTCCTCTACATACATCTAGAACCATATCAGACAATGTTATAATTTTTGCTTCAATTATCAAACGTAATTTAAACACTTGGAGGAGGAAAGCCTATTGTATTTATCCATGTTTCTGCTCCAAGTTTCCTGTTTTAAAAAATAATTTTCCTTCTGTGTAAAGAATTTCTTTTATCCATTCTTTTAGGGCAGGTATACTAGTGGCAATTTTTAAAATTTTCCTATAATCTGAGTATGTCTTGATTTCTCCTCTTTTTCTGAAAGACATTTTCACTGGGTATAGGATTGTAGGTTGGCATTTCTTTTCTTTCAGCATTTGAAAAATATTGTGCCAATTCCTTCTGGTCTCCATAGTTTCTGATGAGAAACCCTCTGATATTCAAATTGCTTATCCCCTTTTCTCTGTTTGCCTTCAAGATTTTTTTCTCTTTAGTTTTCAGAAGTTTGACTGTGATGAGTCTTAGTGTAGATTTTTTTTTTGGATTTATCCTCTTTGGAATTCATTCAACTTATCCATAGGTTTATGTCCTTTGCCAAATTTGAGAAGTTTTCAGCCATTATTTCTTCAAGTCCTTTTAAAGACCCCCTCTTTTCCTCACTCCTTCATGTGACTCTAATGGCATGAATGTTAGACCTTTCATTATGGTCCCATAGGCCTCTGAGGCTCTGGGGTTTGGATTTTGTTTGTTTTTCCAGTTTGTTTTCTCTCTGTTGTTCAAACTGGCTACTTTCTACTGTTCTTTCTTCAAGTTCACTGATTCATTTCTCTGTCCCCTCCATTCTGCTGTTGAACCCATCCATTAGTTTCTATTCTAATTATTGTATTTTTCAGTTCTAAAATTTCCATTTAGTTCTTCTTTATATAAATAAATAGGCTGAGACTATTTCTTTGAGGCATTGCATTTTTTCATTTGCTTCAAGTGTGTTCATAATTGCTCATTGAAGCATTTTTATCTTGCCTGTTTAAAGTACTTTGTCAGATAATTCTAACATTTCTGCATCTTACTGTTAACATTTATTGGTTGTCTTTTCTCATTCAGTTGGAGATATTCTTGGTTCTTGGTATGATGCATGACTTCCAGTTGAGAGCTGGAGATGTTCATATTATGTATGAGATTCTGTATCTTATTTAAATCTTCTGGTTTAGTTGGCTTTCTCTAACACTGTTCTTCCAGAGGAAGGAGTGGGTGCATCCTCCTTACTGCCAAGTGGAGGTACTCAGCCTTTTTTTTTCACCCAAGGGAAAGGAGATCTCCTTACTATTGTTGTGTGCAGATGGGAGTCCCAGCTCCCCACAGAATCTCTACTGACAGCATGGTGAGGTCATTTGGCTAGAGAGAGCAGGTTCTGGTTGGGCCTTTCTTTATCTGCACCTGTTGGTGTTTCAGGTTTCTTAGTCTTCTCCACCTCTGAGATACAGGGCAAAAAAAAAGGCCCAAGGAACTCACCACAGTGTTGTTCCTCAGGGTTTGAAGTGCATTAGTAGGTCTGCCGCCTTCTTCCCACTTCTCAGAGTCTTCTTGTGTTTGTTTTACATATAATGTCCAGGGGTTTGGGCTGTATTTAGTGGGAGGAATAGGGGAAGTAGATCTGCTTCCTTTTCTTGAAAACAGAAATCTATGTAAGAATCTTAAAGCCTAATTTTAAACTTTGCTGATTTATTCCATAAGGTGGTACAGATCACTTGTAGTCATTTTAAGAGACATTTTAATTTAATTAAATTTATTTATTTATTTTTGGCTGTGTTGGGTCTTTGTTGCTGGGTGCAGGTTTTCTCTAGTTGTGGTGAGTGGGGGCTACGCTTTGTTGCGGTGTGTGGGTTTCTAATTGTGGTGGCTTCTCTTGTTGCGGAGCGCGGGCTCTAGGCATGCGGGCTTCAGTAGTTGTGGCTCGCGGGCTCTACGGTGCAGTCTCAGTACTTGTGGCGCACAGGCTTAGTTGCTCCGCGGCACGTGGGACCATCCTGGACCAGGGCTCGAACCCATGTCCCATGCATTGGCAGGCGGATTCTTAACCACTGTGCCACCAGGAAAGTTCTGAGACATTTTAATTTAACAAATCTTCTAGTGAGTATAAGGTCCACTTCTTATCTCTATTTTTTGATGTTCCATATAATAGAAATTGCCAATTGTTCACACATGGGCTCAAGGTGTTTTAAAAGAAAATGGGGTTAGATTTGAGTGGGGGAGGTCTGCAATTCCTTATCCAAAACTCTTGGGAGCAGATGTATTTTAGTATTCAAAAAATTTTATAAAATGTATTAAATATGACATTGTTAAAGGAAAAAATCATTCATGACACTTGTTAAGAATAAGGCAGACTTTATTCAGGGGGATCACTATAATGGAATTTTGTAGTAGGGGAGAGATCAGCTCAACTCTGAATACAACAAGGCAAGTGGAGATTTATAGCCAAGGAGCATGGTCAGGGTTAGTTGATAGAAAATTACTAAGAGGTAGGGTAATTCTTTGCTAAACTGACCTAACAGGGTTTCTGTTGAAGGCAGACCAGAGTGATAAGATATTGAGGGTAGGGAATAAGGAATTTGACCAGCTATCAAGGGTGGGGAATTACTCAGCAGGACTCTTGCTAAAACTGAACTAAATGGGCCCAGGACAGAGCCCATTTAGTTCAAGGTCAAGGACTAGTCAGAGGACTCAGAGGAGTCTGACTCAAGTTTGGTTAAAGGCGAGAGTCTTTGTCCACTAACACCCCCAGTAGGGTTTGGTGCAGAATCTCTAAATCAAACATCGTAATAGTTCTGCAGCAGGACATGAATATCCACACTAAGTAGGTTAAGTGAAGGTTATAAATGGTATTACTTCGGTTCAGAGAAGTTATGAAAAATCTTCTCTGTTTTCAGAGCACTGTGATTTAGGAATTGTGGACTGTATAACCAAGCGTGTGTTAGGTGGGTCACAGCATAAGCAGCTTGGCAGCTTGATCTCAACCCTCTGTGACTCAATGCCGGGAAATTAATTGCACAGCCTTCTGCAGGCATTTGAGTTTGTGGTCTCTGTATCCGTAACCATTTTAAATTCTTCTAAAAATACTGAATAATTTCCTTATTTACCTGTTGTTTCCCTAGTAACTAACTCATTGAAAAATGATTTCTTTTTAAAGTCTTAACACAGGAACTTCTCTGCCTGTTAACAGTGTTTCCCTCTCTCCTTAGATGAAGATGAAGAAAGTGATGACTCAAGTGAAGAAGAATCCAGCTTGGAGAGTGACGCGGATGAGTCTGGATCCGAAGATGACGTTTTTGATGATTCTGTCTGCCCAACAAGTAAGTGGGGTAAAACCATGCATTCTCTGTTACGTGTGACTATGGATTGATAATACCAGAAATTCCCTTTTTTTGGTTTCTCGATTGTCTCATAATGATATTTAAGGAAAGGATGGCTTAATCTGTATGAAGTATAGTCTAATGGATACTCTTTGGGGCTCTCCGGACAATTAATTTTCTGTTTCTTGAGGCAGCTACTTATGAGTACCCAATTAAATAATCTGCAGACAATCTCTAGTTGATTCAGAGTCATAAATTGTGCAGAAAGTTTCATTTTATAGAGAAACAGAAGATTTATATATAAAAATATATATTTAAGTATATTTTTATAAAGCTCTTCCTTTTTGCCAAACCATTCAGTTTTCATATTTCAAACCTGTTTTGTAAGGGCAATTTTTACATTTCCTGGAGATGCTTGGCAACTTATATTCACTGTTTTCACTGGTGAAACCAGTCTGAAATATTCTTACAGTCCAATATTCTTATAGTCCAGACCAATATTCTTACCGGCTCAATACATGAATGGCTCAGTAGGAAAACTATTTCTTCTTGATCTGAAATTATTTTCCTAGGTATTTCATACCAATTATAAATCAAATTTTAAAGTCAAATAAAGTTTAAATCTTGTTTTGATTTTGAAAATAAGAATCTTCTTAAAATCATATTTATGAGTGGAAGAAAGCTAGAAAATCTTGTAGTGCAACTTGTTATTTTATAGCAGGATTAAACGGCTTGAACAAAGGCTCACAGTTAGTTTAGTGGTAGAACTTGGGATGGAGCTATGGTTCCTAAATTCCATTGTAGTGATCCATTATATTTTCACATTCTTTATCAATTACTCAGTGGATAAATGTGGCTGTCAGTGTGATATAGTGGAAATTAATACAGAGGTACTGTACTTGAATCCCATTCTGTCACATATCAGCTGTGTGACCTCTCTGAGACTTACGGTGGTCGGGTGGTCGTGACCTATAAAATGGGAACAACAGTCTCTACCTTGCAGGGCCTGTGAGCCTTGAATGAGATAAGGTACATAAAGGACCCAGCACCAAGCCTGGCTCAGAGCACTGCTCAGAACATCAATACTAGTATCATAACCACTATCATGATTATTAATACCATTAATAATTTCTACCCAGAATAATTTCTACCTGGAGCCCTAGGTATGATGGAACCTTGCTGGAGTAGATGGACATTAATAATTCTGAAGCTCCAAAGTCCACACTTACTGTATTACTACATTCCCTAACAAATGGGGCTGCTTTACTCTTTTGACTGTCTTTTCAGATTGTGATAAGGGTCTCTTTGAACTGGCCCTTCAACTTCGAGAGAAAAGGCTAGACATTGAAGAGGCCTTAGTTGAAGAAAAGAAAATGATCGATAACCTCAGAAAGGAATATGATACATTGTCCAAAAAAGTATGTTGGTCTGCCCTTCTCAGGTCTGTTCATCCTCTCCCAAAAAGCTACATCTCCTTGCAGCTATAATATTGCTATTTCATAGCAATGGCATGAGTTAGGACTTCTTGTAAGAGAACAGACATTTCCCATGTTATATCCATTTACAGTTGTGGTTGAGGGGCCATTGCTCTTTTAATGACTGGGACTTTCTTTATCTAAATCACTGGCCTCCAAACTTTTTTGATTACATACTTCTATAAGTAAAAAAATTGTGGAGCACATATTCCCACAATAAATGTATATTTATTTATAAATTATATACATGAACTATTGTACTAATATATTTTATGTATTATGAAACATTTGCAAAAACAGAAATTAACAAGAATAAGATAAAAGTAAATGGAAATTGAAACTTCTTTCTGGACCCCAGTAGATGACTTTGACACTCTGGGGTGTATGCATTCCATGTGGGAGGCCACTAAACTAAACTTCTGGGACAATTATAGTGATTTTTCTGCTGTATCTGCTCAGCTTCCCTCTTAGGTACTCTTTCCTAGAGCAGCATCATTTGACTCATATTCAGAAATATTTTTGATAGATTGCTTCCCCTCTTGAACAAGGAAATGATTTGGAAAACTTTCTAGTATTTTAGGAGATGAAGCTATGTGCTTTAGAAATACTGTAGTTAGTAGTTTCATTACTTTAAAGGGCTTTTTTCTCTAGTTTATTGATGTCATTATGACCAAATGAGATTTGAACCATCCTGACAAAGACATTCCAGGCTGAGAGATGCTTTTACTGCAGAAAACAAAAGGGAGATGGGGACAAGTCTTCTGAGTTTTCATTAACAAAACCTATACAACTCTGGGGTCATTGGAACAATTGAAAAGGTGGTGTGGATCATGACTTAGCAGGAAGAGAATAATATATATTGCTGGGCTGCAGACTGGGATCGTCCGTTTAATCACAGCCCAACAAAGCAGATCCAGCTCATGCTTTTGCTTCCTCCCAGAAAGGCTTCATTTACCACCTCGGGAATATATTCAGTGAATCTTTTCAACATCTCACACATGGGGCTTTCCACAGGTCAAGATTGTGGCAACTAATCTGAACATGGCCGAGGAGGCCCTGGAGGCTTATCAACGTGAGAAGCAGCAGCGGTTGAATGAACTGCTGGTTGTGATTCCTCTCAAGCTCCACCAGGTGACGGGTCTGAGAGGTTGCCCCACCCTGTCTGAGCAGGAAAGCCATATGACACTCAGGCTTTTCCAGAGAAAAATTCATGGGCCACTAGGGGGCAGAAGTGCAGTCCTTGGCTGAGAAATCTACCTGTAGAATGACACCCCAACTTTTCTTACCCCTTCTGAGATTGTTATAAAAGCATAATATGAAAACATGTATATTTCCCTGTGGTCCATTATCACTTTGAAAGTTGAATCATTTCAAGTCTGAAGAAATGAGAAGCCTATGACTTAAGGGAATGGCTTGGAGGTTGAAATGTTGGCTCTCGGACACATGTCACTTTTCACACCATCTTTAAGTAGACATGAACTAATGATGCAAGAAGTAGCTTCGCTTAATCTCTACTTGTTAATGAGGGAGGTTAAGATAAAAGGAAAATATTCTTTCTCTTTTTTCCCTCTCTTTGTTCATCTCTATATCCCGCTCAAACTACAACTTACATTAAAATGCAGAGATCATATCAGCGAAGTACCATGTTTTGTCACGTAAATAGAGAAAGCTGTATGTTAGAAGAAAAGCCTAAGATCAGCCTTACATACATCTTGTTTAACCTGACCCAAACAGGATTAGCGATCTGTAGCAATTTGCCTAATATGCCAACCCTGAAGTGTCCGTTCCATCCTTATGCAGTAGATATCAAGCATGGTCTTTTCGGAAAGAAGTGCTGTCCCTGAGGGACATAATGTGACTTCTATTTGAAAGTGGCTTCCTGCTTTTACCTTACTCAGTGGTGACAAGGGACAGAGAAAGAAGTGTTTCCCTTATGCTTCCATGACCTTCAATTTAGCTTGATCTTTGTCTATTTTGATTTCTGTTTTGTTTTGCTTTTGTAGATAGAGTATGTGGTATTCGGAGAAATACCTAGTGATCTTTCTGGAACTTTGGTCTTTTCGAACCACTCCTTGGGACGACTGCAAGAACGAATTGTCCAGCTCCACGAGGAAAATTCCCAGCAGCAAAAACTTAACAAAGATTGCCGGGAACGGCGTAAACAGCTCATCCGAGAAAAGAGAGAGATGGCCAAAACTATACAGAGTGAGTATTAAGCCCGTGGCTTATTTAGTAATATTTAGTGATTAGAGAGGGAACTGTCAAGTGACATCTCCAACTTTGAAAACAGTAGGTCATCACAGATCAGAACCACTGAGAGGAAATAACACCTTCCCGTCTTCCCACTTACTCTCTCTCCTGATTCTATCAAAAGGTCATTCTCCTGTTTTAAAAGGATAAATATTTTCTCACAGAAACAGTTTCTCGCAATTTTTAAAGGTTTTATGTATAATAAATTATAGAATAATACAGCAATATCCCTTGTACCCACTACCAAGCTTAAGAAATAAGCATTGAAGATACAACTGAAGGCCCTTCTCCTTATAATACTGTTCTGCTCTCTCCTTCCCCAGAATCAACCACCAGGCACGTCTGTATACATATGGATGTATCCACACACAGTATACAAAGTGCCTTTGTATGTTTTTAACTGTAATATAATATTATTCCTATCATTTTGCAGTTCACTTTATTAAACCAGTTTTTGAGAGTAATCCGTATTGCTACAGATAATTACTCATTTTAACTGGTACTACAATATTCCATTGTAGGACTATAAAAGAGTTTTTCTTCAGTCTCCTGTTGATGGATATTTAGGGTACTTGTAACTTTTCATGATTACAGACAGTGTTACAGTGAACCTTCTTGTACATGTCTCCCTGTGCATGTGTGGAAGGAGGTGAGTCCCCAGGACTGGGGGCTCTGGGTGAGAGGCGGGTGTGTACATTTTCCATTCTCCTGGGTATTGTCAAGTTGCCCTCCAAAGTGGCTGTACCCTTTTCTCTCCCTTGGCAGTGTGAGAATTTCCTGGGCTCCATAGTCTAATCAACACTTAATACTGCTAGACTTTCATATTTCTGCCAACCTCATAGATGTTAAAATTGTATTTCACTGTTTCCTGAAGCCCTTGAGGTTGAACGTCTTCACATAGCTTATTTGCTGTTTATTTGTGTTTCCTTTTCTTGCCTGTCATACACTTTGCCCATTTTTTTTTTATTTTATTGATTGTAGGGAGTTTCTTCCTACATTTTATGTCTTTCTTTGTCCATTACATTCACTTCGAATCTTTTCCAATATGTGTCTCACCTTTTTACTTTATTTACTGTATCTTTTTGGGATACAGACATTTAAAAATCTCAATATAATTAATTTTATCAATCTATTTATAGTTTGTTCATTGTGTGTGTGTGTGTCTTAAGAAATCCTTTCCTATTTTGAGGTCACAAAGATATTTTTCTATCGTTTCTTCTATTAGTAGTGTTCCTCACATTTACGTTCTTAATTCAGATGGAATTGAGGTGTATAGTATAAGATGTATGGAGTAAAGACAATTCTTTTAAAATACCTTTTGAATATTTGATATATGGAACATATGTGTAAGTGATGAAGTATTCCAACTTTAATAATAATATTACCAATACTATAATAGCATCTACCTTAATGCCACAGACCTGTACACTTTAAAGATTAAAATGGTACATTTTGTTATGTGTATTTTACCACAATTGAATAATATTTTTTAAAAGAAAATTTGAAAAAGAAAAATGGGAAGAATATAGAGTTCAGTCTATCCCAGTTGCTTGGATTTGTAGAGGTCAGTTTCTAATGAGTGATGATGGTTCTACCCTCATGGGTGGCTGGATTATAAAATTTTAAAATACATGTTAAGACTCTATGTTTGAATAACACTTATTTGAGACATAGAGTTTTCTCACGTATAAACCTTGAGGCCCCAATGTTTCTCACGTACTTCACATTCCTTTGGCTTCTGTAGCCTGTGAATGTTGTTTATATTTGGAAATACTATTTGTCAAACCAAGGAACAAACTAGTATGGAAATGAGGAAAGAAGCTTATTTCCATCTGAGTAACCTCACAGTTTGGAAAAATGTGTGAAGAAGATGAAATGAAGTATTCACATTTCTGGAATGTTAGTTGAAATTAAAAAAAAAAAAAAGTCCCATGTGGTTCAAGTTTTATTCAGTGACTTTGAGTTCTTCTCCTAACCCCGGTCCATTTTCTGAAAGCAAGTTGTGAGTCTGGTTAAAGACTGATCTCCTAATTCAGAAGGTGAAGCTAGGAGTGGTTCCTTTACTGTATCTCAAAGAACAAATGCTTACCAGTGATGAGAAACACCACAGTCACTCACTGTTGCCTGCCTCCATCCCTAGACCCAATGGGGAAGAAGAGGAGAGTCTAGAACATGGGGTGGGGAGGTAAGTTCTCTCCTTTTCAAGGAGAGCACAGCTTGCAGCCATGGGGACAGAGGATGGGGAGTGTTCCAGAAGGCTTTATGTGCCCAGGGAACACTAGCTGGCCTAAGTGAGTCAGGAGAAGGGTGTTGTTAGGCTGGCTCCACAGTGGGAAGGGCAACGACCAGAGTCCATGTCCTAGTACATGAGGCTGCCTTGGGAGAGGGCACCCTGTTATATGGGGCTAGCTGGGGGAAGTCAAGGTTCTTACTGAGGGAGGCCAAGCAGGCAGCCACAGGCTAGCCACACATGTGCCAATAATCCAGTCATTTCATTTGCATCACTGAGTATCATGGCCACCGCATGACACAAGTCCATGGGGTGCCACTCACGTAGAATAGAAATGAATAACCCTCCCTGGATTGTGTAAAATGGCAGCCATAACGATTATACCTGAATACAAATTCCTGTATTGTAACAGAATTGCATCATCTTGTTATACCTTAGGGCCTTCAGACTTCACTTAGGGGACTCTGGTGACTGAGAAAATCTTGTTACAAGATTATACTTTCTTGGGGAGCTCAGACTCCACAAATGGAATTTTCTCCAGGTTTTCCAGTGTTCACATGTTGAGGAAACACAGTAAACAAAAGTAAAACATATTGCATGTTAGATGGAGAGGACTGTTAAGAAGAAAAAATTAGAAAGGGACTGGGAAAGAGTGCTGAGGTCCATAGGAAGCCAGGGAAGAGCTCCCTGCAAAGGTGATATACTTACTAAGATGTGGTTCTCCCTGGTTAGGGGACAAATTACATTTGGTTACACCTTCAGAAATGGGTGTTTTGGAAATGAGTCTTTCACCGGTCTCACAACTTGTTTTCAGAAAATGGGCTGTGTGGAGTGAATCATGTGGCTATTCGGGAAGAGAATTCCAGACAATTCCATACGAGAATATCCAAGTGAGCCTGGAATGTTTGAGAAGGTTGAGAAAAAGATGTCTGGAGCGAATGAGGAGAGAGGTGTGGGAAAGGAGGTGGGAGAGATAATAGGGGCAGGGCAGGGCAGGACAGGTAGGACCTTGTGAACCACTGCAAGGATTTTAATATTTTTACTTGGAATAAGATGGAAACTTCTGTTCAGTGACTGTTCTGTTCTCAACACCAGATGTTATAGAGATCAGTAATAAAAAGTTAAAAACTGAAGGCTTCATAATCCCATTTGGGCCCATGAATAATCTGAGGAGGGGCAGATCAGGTGTAGCCAGTTGGGAAAGATGAGTCCCTTTTACACAGGAATTTGAAGTAGATGAAAAGACAATAGAGCAATGTGCATTCTAGGTGAGGAAAGTAGTAGGTGAAAAGTCACAGAGGAAAACCCAACTGGTAACGTAAAATCTCTTATCTTCTTGCAAAAGCTGTTCCTTAGAATGGTAGTGGTATTGGTATTATTCATTTAATAACAGTGGGATCTGGTGAACAACCTGACAGTGACTGTCTTCTTTTAGAAATGGAAGAAACAGTCAGTCAACTAATGGTCAGCAAGTTTGGCCGTGTGATCAACCTAGAAGCCCTTCAGACACTTTCTGTGAATACAACACTTGAAGAACTAAAGATCAAGAAACTTCGAAAGGAGCTATCAAACGCAAAGGAAATGAAGATGTGGGAGGTTAGGACGAGAGGGCAGGTGATCCACTGGGTGGAGGCAAGAACTCCTGGTGAGCTTTCAGTGGTTCCTGCGAAGCATCTGTACACCTGGAGACACGTGTGTGAGCCCCACTTGGTTCCTCCATGATCTTAAGCCTGTCTCGGCTTTCTTACCATTTACTTAGTTGAGCCACTGGTCTATCTTGGGATGAAAGCACTAGCATTGGGTCTGGGATCCAGGATTCATGTAAATATGATGGCAAAATCGCATGAAAGATTACAGAGAGATTCTACTCTGAGGTCTGCATTAATGTATAAACGTTCTAATAGTGTTAGACATGAACTGCTATACTCTGAGGACCTAATTGTATTATTCTACATAGCTTTTGATGCTATTTCCATTCTGGAAATTAGAAAAAACATCTCTGAGTAATACATTTTATAACAAGGTATATACTATTTAGCTGGTAGGGTCTTAGAAGGTATTAAATGCCTACACTGTTCCCAGAGCCATGAGATGAGGCAGTACCCCAGTTACAGCCTGATTCAGAGACAGGAACTTTTACAAAGATTTTATAAGCCCACAAATAATTACGGCTTCTCCAGTTTTCTGTCTTCACAGTACATAGGGAAGGAGGAGAGGTTCCTAGCGCTCTTTTATTTTTTAATATTTATTTATTTTCCTTATTATTTTTTTTGGCTGCCTCAGGTCTTAGTTGCGGCACACGGGGTCTTTGTTGAGGCATGTGGGATTTTTTTGTGACGGCGCAAGATCTGCTCGGGTTTCTCTCTAGTTGTGGCGTGCGGGTTTTCTCTCTCTCTAGTTGTGGCGCGCTGGGTTCCAGGGCACGTGGGCTCTGTAGTTTGCTGCGCGTGGGCTCTAGTTGATGCGCGCAAACTCAATTGTTGTGGTGCGTGGGCTTAGTCGCCCCACGGCATGTGGGATTGAACCTGTGTCCCCTGCACTGGAAGGTGGATTCTTTACCACTGGACCACCAGGGAAGTCCCTCCTAGTGCTATCTTGTCTCATCTTATCGAAGATTTGCCACTGTACCGTGAAGAAACAAATTACTTCAGTGTTCGTGTCAGTGGGATGGTCCCTATCAGGGTAGTGCTGGAGATAATACGCGCTATCTAAAATAATTTGTTGGAGTAGTAGGAGAACAAAGGAAAGCCACTGGCAGATGTATGGCCATTCAAGCGGGTCACCTTGAGGATCCTGGGCCAAGACTGGGGAAAAAGCAATACAGGAACATTTCCTGCTTAAAGGATCATTCTCCCTTTCAATGAACGAATACCATCACTCAGTATGCACGCTAATGTCATTGTTCAACAATGGAGTGATGTCTATCTTATTTTTACCTACTTTCATCCCGCTTTCATTCTTCTTTAATCAAACCAGACCCAGTGCACTTGCTTCTGGTATTATTGGCTTATTGTATTTTTCTATGTGCACATCACTCCACTTGCCTGGTGGTTTTGATCAAATCATTCATTTTTCTCTGCTTCCTCACTCACTTAATCCATTTTGCATCTTTCTGCCCCGGTAGGAAAAGATTGCTCAAGTGCGATGGGAATTGATGATGAAGACAAAAGAACACACCAAAAAACTTCATCAGATGAATGATTTATGTACTGAAAAGAAGAAACTTGATTCTCAGTTGAATATTCTACAGAACCAGCAGGTATGTTCCTTTTCTTCAGACCTTTTGTCAGAATTGGGGATGTTCTATAAAGGAAATATCAAGTGCTGGCTTTTAAACAAACCTTGATCTTGGACGTTTCTGGCCCACTTGGGTCCCTGAGGACAGAGTTGATACCGTCTACATTACAATGAGCCTGAGGGACTAGCTTTACTGTATGCCTACTGGGTACCATGAATTCATACAAGTACTAATTAAGGGATTTGCCTTGGCCCTTGGAGAGGTAAGGTTACTTAGGTATAAATGATGACATCAACACGCTCCCTGAATTTGGTGTCAAACATCCATTTCCAATACAGGTTTACTTCCTTTGACCTAAAGGGGGCCTCCTGAATTATGGGAGGCCACATGTTACTTATTAAAACACCTGTTACTTTTTAGGGCTTTCAACTTGCTTTTATATAATATTTATTGAGGCTAACCTAGTAGTACTTAATACAGCATGTGGTGGATAATACTTATTTATAAAGTTTCACCCTATTTAAGCCTTGCCTTCTAGGGACATAACACACGTATGGCATATTCCGAACTACGTGCTATAATCTTTTAATAGTACCTGCAAAAATGCTTTTTTTTTTCTCTTGGTTTTCTTTACGCGCCCAGGAAATGTTCTAAGCCAGGGGCTCTCAAAGTGTGGTTCCCCCAGATCTACAGAATCAGAGGCTGTGGGGGAGGGGTCCAGCAATCCAGAACAAGCCTTCCAGGTGATTCTGCTGCATGCTAGAGCTGAAGAATCACTGTCTAAGCAAAAGTCCAAAAGAAAGAATGAATAAGAGGCTTTGGGAGGTTTACAACTAAAATAGAGGGGAAGACTAGAATCTGAGTATCAAAGGCCCTTTATCCACTAAAGAATTATTGAGCAAAGAGTCACAGCAGTATTCAAGAGCGGTGATGCCTAGACAGAATCTTCACAGAGTCGTCAGTGAGTAAACATCTGTTGACTTGATGTGCTTTGAACGTCCAGATGCCTTGGAGAGGAAAGAGTTTGGAGGCAGATCAGTTGACTGGGAAAGGGAATTAATTGTGTAGGTCTCGTTACATAGTATATCTTTATATATATAGCTTTACATGTATGGTCTCTTTCCATTGGCTGTCTCACTGAATCTTCAAAATACCACTTTCCAAAGCTCAGAGTGGTGAAGTAACGTGCTCATGCTCTCAGAGCTAATACGTGGGGAAGTTTCTTTTTTTTTAACATCTTTATTGCAGTATAATTGCTTTACCAACGGTGTGTTAGTTTCTGTGTATAACAAAGTGAATCAGCTATACATATATCCCCATATCCCCTCCCTCTTGCATCTCCCTCCCACCCCTCTAGGTGGTCACAAAGCACCGAGCTGATCTCCCTGTGCTATGCGGCTGCTTCCCACTAGCTAGCTATTTTACGTTTGGTAGTGTATATATGTCCATGCCACTCTCTCACTTCGTCCCAGCTTACCCTTCCCCCTCCTCGTGTCCTCAAGTCCATTTTCTACGTCTGTGTCTTTATTCCTGTCCTGCCCTTAGGTTCTTCAGAACCAATTTTTTTTATTTTTAGATTCCATATATATGTGTTAGCATACGGTATTTGTTTTTCTCTTTCTGACTTACTTCACTCTGTATGACAGACTCTAGGTCCATTGACCTCACTACAAATAACTCAGTTTCGTTCCTTTTTATGGCTGAGTAATATTCCATTGTATATATGTGCCACATCTTCTTTATCCATTCATCTGCTGATGGGCACTTAGGTTGCTTCCACGTCCCGGCTATTGTAAATAGAGCTGCAGTGAATGGGAAGTTTGTTTTTAAACTGAGGGCTGTGTGCCTCCCAAGCTGACTCCATAGCTATTACTCTTACAACAATCTAGGCATGGATTGGGATGAAGATGGCAAGGACAAAAAACCAACAGTCAAAGGCGTTTCAAAGTAAGAAGAGCCAAAATTGTTTGGATATGGTAAAGAGAAAATGAGGGAAAAGCTAAGGTGACTTCAGAGTGACCGTCTGGACTGACTGGGCATGAGGGGCCGTGCATTTAGCTACAAATAACCAAAAGCCCCACTTTTGGAGAGTAGCTTGAACAAATAGGGGTGCTTTTCCTCACTTAACAAGAAGTCTGCAGGATATGACTGAGGGGTTTTAGTTTAGTGGGGCTGTGATGTCAGGGCCAGTATCTCTGTGACTCTCTCAGTGGCTGAAGTTTCCTTCAGAGTCACAAACAGCTGCCCCAGCTCTGTGGTTGCTGCCCAAATGCCAGACTCTTAACAAGTTCTAGGGCGGATGCTGGGTAGAGTGGTGAGATCCAGGCATATTGGGCTCTTATTTCTAAGGCACAGGATCTAGCAAGAAAGATATCAAACAAGCACTTAGGTCAAACCGTAGGAAACTGCTACTTTTTAGGTTAAAAAATGGTCACATGTCACAAATTTCAAATGGTTCAGTCTAATAACTACAGTGATGAGTGATGGATGATTTGACAGAACGTAGAGCAGGAATCCTAACCCAGCCCATGGGGTGAAGAAATCCTCCCTAAAAATGATGTCTGAAACATGAGCAGGAACTGGCTGGGCAGGGGAAGAAATCAGATGAGGGAATAAAGATTTCTTTTTTGGAAAACAAGATATGGGCTGTATAGGAAAAGGAGGTATCTAGCCTTTTAGAATTCCAGCGATGAGCCCTGTGGGGTATGAGTGACTGATAGCTAGATTAATGAGTTACCCTCTAAAGGGGATTTGCATTTTAAGAGTTGCTTATTAGCTCAAAGGGACACCTTTCCAATGGTGGGATTTCAGTGGAGGACTTGAAGGCTTCTTAAAATCAGGAGCGATGGCTATTTAAGTCAGGCACACCTAAAAGACAAATTAAGACAGGGGTGTTTCCATAGTCCAAATGGTGCTTAAAGCAGGGAGGTGTTTTCTCTCAACAGGGAAACGCCTTCCAGGGCCCCCGGAAAGCAGATACTGTGGCCAGAGAGAAGGTCACTGAATTGATCCAAGTCCAGGCCGAAAGGATTCTGGCCTTAAAGGAAGAGGTTGCTCTTTTGCGTAAGAAAGGTGGCCTTGTTCTCCCCCCGATTCACTCGCCAGGAGAGAATGAATGAAGCCCGTGGGCCTTAAGTTTGCTTTTTTCTCAAATCCAGCCAAGATTTCTGACACTTAATTCAACAGAACTTCTGTTTCCTTGTCGCCTGCAACAATCCTACTGTTTTAAAGTGAACTTATCTGAAAGTCTAAAACCACATCCAGTCATGTAGTTTTAATAATTTCCCCCCAACTGCTTATCTTAAAACTGACTACAGCACCCAACAGCTACTTATTATTGAACTGAACCAATGCAGATGTGTTTGCAACCAACTGGGTCGAATATGAAATCTTAGGAGGCTGTTACCTCAAATCGCCAGAAACCATCGGTAATATATCCTGTTTTAGGAAATTTGTTTTTTGGTTATCTGAATTCTGAGCCATTAGCAAGAAAATCGGTCATTCAGCAAACCATGAGAAAACTTCCTTTTCTTGGTCGTTGGATCCTTGGAAAATAAACTTTGATGTTATCAGGTATTCTCTGAGAGGGCACAAGAGAACAAAAACTATTTTGCCAACAATATCTGAGAAAAATGCAATTTAGAATTTTGACATTGTTAACTTCATAAAGCAGTTATTTGAGGGGTCGGGATTCAGGAAATGCAGACAGAAAGAGCAGAGCAGTTTGCTTTAGACTGGCATAAAGCAAAAAAATAAACAGCTTCCTGAATCACCCATAGTTTTAGCAACCTCCTCAGCTCTGGGTGGAGCAGAGAAGTGTGTTTTGCAAAATGGTTAAGAAGGAGGCTCTTCTCTAAAGGTGTCTGCAACTCTACCAGTATCCTAAGCATTTCCTATAGTTTCTCATGTCCTGTGCCATTTTCTTTCTGTTTCTACTTGAGTCATTTGCTGGTTTTGATATAGATCAGGAAGTAATGAAATAGATCCCATCACTGAGAGATCAACTCTAATAATCACTTTTGATTGTACATAACATTTAAACTAATTTGGGAGTATTCCTTTGGTTTGGGGGTAAGTAGTCAGTGGAATTCATCTAAGAATGATTTCACTGATATTTGGATTCCTGTTTGTTAGTAATAGAACATAGCACTTTAAATTCCGTGCTCTATGGGTCCATTTTAATGAGCTACTCCCTTGAGGCCATCCCAGAATATGAACTGGTTACCGAAAAGGAAAGGTAAAGGCGGCAATGTTGCACCAATGTAGAAAGTGACCTCAGCAAGGTCAAGTTTTCGTAACCTGTCTAGCCTGCTGATCTGCCCTCCAAAATTATAGACAGGACTTGGGGTCTTTTGTATGTTGGAATATATACATGTTACAGGGGGCCACTTGGCCTATTGTGTCTCTAAGATCCTTTCATACTCCTATTTGAGAGGTCCAAATAGCTTACTGTTTGTGCCTATCACCACAGAGCTCTGATGTAGCAGCTTTTCTACTGGAGAGCACCCTTTATCACATTCTCTGCTGTACACCCTAAACTATGTGTGCCCTTCAAGCATTTCAAAAAAATGTGCTAGTCACAGTTCTGAGTGTTTTACCTACTTATTTATTCCTGCATAAAAAATTACCCCCAAACATAGCTTAAAACAACATTATCTCACCCAGTTTCTGAGGGTCAGGAAGCTGGGAGCTACTTAGCTGGGTGTTTCCAGCTCGGGTCTCTTACGAGGTTGTAGTCAAGCCGTAAGCTGGGCCCGCGTCCATCTGAAGCTTGGCTGCAGCAGGAGGGGCTACCACCAAACTTACGTAACTGGCTGGCTACGACCTTGAGCGACCGCCTGGATACAGTGGGTGGTCCCGGAGGAGACACTATCCCCTTGTTGTGGTGAGAGCTAGGGTAAAAGTTACATTATTTTCCTGGGCCTCATTATCAGACAAATGAGAGATCTGGATAAGCTCTGAGGCTTCTTCCTATTCTAAATCCTGTGATTCTAATTGCAGCAAGAATGAATTTAGTCTATGGAAGAGCCATGTCAAGGATTCCATGTGTCTATCAACTCAGAGTAAAACCAGTCAGGATTATTACTTTTTCCCAAACTGAACTAGACAAAAATCACTAAAGTTTACAATACTAGGCATTCATACAGCATGTTTGGGATTTGACAATACAGTTAATTCATTTTTATTTTGAATTAGATAAGAAAGATAGCTTTCGTTTCATTTCATTGATCCCAGGCTTAGTCTTGAATCTATAGCAACTGAGTCTTCGGGAGGTTTAATAGCAAGCAGGAGAGCACCAGGGTGCAGCTCTGGCTGGGGGTGGATGGAAAGCTGTCCTAGTCTCCTGATCTGTGCTCTGCCTCCTGCTGTGCCCTTAGAGAAGGCAGCCTCACCTTTGAAAGAGGCCAAAAATCTGTCTGAGTTACTTGTGGATCAACTGTTAATGTCCCTTGGCTATTCTGAACCCTCGTCCATAGTATCATCAAATCTCAACATTGAAAGAAAACCTGTAGAGTCCAGCCCCTCTGTCAGAACTTCACAGGAAAAGGAGTTTCTCATTCCTGCCGACTCAGCCTGTCCCGTGTGGCTGTCCTGAGCCATGAGCTGAACTCCACACCACCACCACCAGCTCCTGCCCAACTAGGTCTTACTCTTCCTTTTGATTAATTTATATAGCCACTGCTGACTGAATCAGATTTTTAAAAGGCACTATAATAATTAACCTGAATCTAAAGAAATGCAAGATGCGATGAAACTGAATATCTAAGCTGTTTCCTTTTCTAGGCTAAAATTTAAAGGCCTGATGCCTAACCTTTTCCTCCTCTCCTGCAATTGGCTAAAGTAAATATGTACATTTATCTCATTTAACCTGCCTTAGAAGTGCTTTTTCATTCCCAGACTTTTTTTTTTTTTTGAGAGCTAAAAGCACTGTTGTCACGTAAAACTGCTTTCTGCACAGCACTGGAACCATACCACTTCCATAAAGTTCACCAAAACTCACCTTGACAACCACTGGGATCATCAAGCATTAAGAAAACAGGGGAGTTTTTTTGTTTTCAAAAGCCAATGGGCTAGAATTTGAGTTATAGCCCAGATCTGAGAGATAAGATCTGTCCCTCTTCTGGAAGTGACCTCTAGGCCCTTGATGCCAGATTGTGTCTGAAGTCACAATATCTTATCTCTTCTCTTCCCTGCTCTACGTCTCCTTTCCTGTCATTTCCGTATTCCTACAGTCCTTCATTTCATTTCTTGAAATATTTTTAAAAGACTGCTTTTCTGAAAACCATGTTCCAATTTAGCTGCTGGACAGAGAAAGGATGCAGGAATCTCTTATGGCCAGCAGAGGGCGCACTTGCCCTAGACCATCAGTCACCTCCTGGGGCTTTCTTAGGACTTTATTCAATTTGTGACTGGAGTGTGAAGCTAGGGTCTGCCATTGATGACCCGGAAGAGGATTAAGTGTTTCAAGTGGCATTTCATCTGTAACTCAACTCTACTGAAATCTAAAAGGTACATTTCCCTCCTGAAAACAGTTAAAGTGTGGTAGGGCTCTCAGCAAAAAGCTTCAGCCTCCATCTACTTCCACTTGCCCGGACAAAGGTTGATCCTGTGGTTGGACGGCAGTGAGTAAATGTTGATTTTAAACAACTAGTGAGTCAACTCCCCTGCCCACGTTGCTGTTTCTTTGGAAAGAAGCAAAGTGAATTTTACGAGGCACCATATGTTCACCTGTAGCACAGCACTTCACTAAATGGCATTTTGGAGAAAATACTTAGTCTTCAACACACACCTGTATAGAAAAGATGAGCCTCATTCCTTCCGATCTGACCACAGCTTTACCTCAAGTCCAGTCAGAGAACGGTGAATCTGCTTCTCCTCGCCCACTGTACACTGTGTCCCTCTTGGACTAAACAGTTACCACGCATCTGCATTAATGAAAACACAACTGAGAGTCAATATTTAAAAAGACAAAATTAGAAACATTTGCTACCTTTTCCAGACTTCTCGATGGATCTGAAAACATCACAAGTGGATGTTTCTTCAAATACTCAGACTGAATCCTAACATCTAAAGAGAATGCTGACTCATACGTGACTAAGCTGTAGGTTACAAGGAAGACTAAACATTTATTTAGACATTACAGTGTTTATTTTTACAGAGATATGTTGCCACAGATTATTGATTCTGGAAGGTTTGTTAATGCTTATAGTACTATACACATCTTAGTCTAGTCTCACGGGCATCTTGGGAAAACGGGAAAACGTTTCCTTTAGCACCAGATCCAGCCACTGTCGCGGGTGGCTGCAGCCTCCGATCGCGTGGCCCTGGCCCTTCTCTTGCAGTCACTGTGGACAGTGTGCCTAGGAGTCCTCCTTCCACGGGCTTCTCTGTGGGCCTTCTGCAGGGGCCCAGGCAGCGGCGGAGGGTCTAAGGGACGGGCTGCCTCCTCAGTCTGTGCTGCTCTTTCCCGGTTGACTCCTGTTCCATTGCGGCTTCTTTGCTTCCCACCTCAGACCTCCTCAGTGGGGAGGATTCCCTATGTCTCTCCAGAATTATAAAAACATATACATTTATTTACAAGTGCATAAATATATAAATATGGCTATTATAGAAAAATAAATACCACTTTTCTCTCTTTTTTAAAGAAACAACAATATATAGTGTCTTTCTGGGATATCAGCTTCTGCCTAAATTGTAGGAGGTGGTATTTCAAAAGACATGTGAACCGGTGGGCTGGGGGAGAGCCGCATCCCAAGTTCCTGCCCTACGTAGGCCCCCACGGGGTGCTGGGGACACCAGTCTCCTCTCCCCGCAGGGCAGGAGTCAGGACTGGCCACCTCTTCAACTGGTACGAGGCCCAAGCAGCACCGGGACCCTGAGGGGAGAGAAAAGTGGGAAACGTTAGAATCCAGACTGACCAGGAACTAGTGCTCAGCAGTACTGGGTCACCCTCTCTCTGGGCTCTCTCTGGGAGCTGGTTACTGGCTTTAGAGGAAGGACAGAGACCTACAACCACAAAAAGGACAATTACACTCCCTCTAAGTATGGGCCACTTCTTACCCACGTCCCACCTGCACATTTCAGTGGTGAAAGCGTGGAGACCCTCATGCATCTACCCTATAACCAGGGGCAGATGACGTCAGCTGAGCCCAGGAACCGTGCAAGAAAGTTCTGCTCTCTCCAGGTGTGGGCTGCTAGTACACCCTTCTGCTATGCTTTCTGGCCATGATCATCTCACTCACAACTCATGCCCCCCGATGGAGGGAGTCCCGTGTGGATGCTACTGGGGTCTGGCTCTAGGAGGTACCTGTCTTAGAATTTCATCTCCCAGGGTCTGGGGGCTGCATGTGACCTGGAAGCCACACCATGGAGGCTATAAGAAACAGCAGCTAATTCTCTGAATCAGCCTGTGCCCAACCAGGTATCAAAAAGATGGGCACAAAGAAGGACAGTGGGCTGGTCGCGCTGTGCATCGAGTCCCTTGGAGGGAAAGTTCTCTGGAAGCACAGAGTTCTGATGATGTGAGAACTTGGCTTAATGATGGATGCAACCCCATTCCTTAATTACGAGACAAGACCCAACAAAGCAAGGTACTTCGGAGAGATTAGAGAGCGCCTCTTAGTGTGATGAGAGGCGGCGGGAATTGGTGAGTGGCCTTGAGATGCTGAGACCAAAAGGGCTTCTTTCCCTGAAATGGAGAAGTGCCCGTTCTCTCAGCCTTTGAGGACAGAGCTTGCCATGTTGGACCCACCTGACACTCCCTGCAGATGTGCTGGGCCTTCAGCAGGGAAGGAGGTGGCCAGCTCCCCTTTGCACCCCCATCTCGGATATACAAGCTGTGGATGGTCTTCACCAAACACCGCCTTCGGGGACTGTTCTCGTCCCGCCTGCACGTCACTCCCGGGTCGTGGATGCCTACACCTCACCTCATCCCCAGCCTGTTCAACCGCCCGCCCTGCCCTCAGCACTGACCTGGGTGAGAAAGAGGGTCCCACGTGGCTTCCAGCCCAGGACCCTGGGGTACACGCCTCATGCCGGGCTGGCCCGTGGCTGCTGGCTGCCCCTGGAGGTGGTGGCAGTCCTGCTGAGGCTGGAGCAGCTGGCAAGCTGAGTCATCGGGCAGTGTGTATAAGAGCGAGCCCTCGTCCGGGTTAGACTTGGGAGCCCTGCATGCACAAAACCAGGCGGAGGGGTGAGGTAGGGGCAGCGTGGGCCTGGATCCCACTGCCCTGGATACTCCCGTCTGGGGCAGCAGAGCTGGGCAGGGCTCAGGCGGGGCAGGGGCTGCTCCCCTTTGGACATCAAGAGGTGCCACACCATCGCTTCCACAGGCAATTCTAGTCTCCTTCCATTTGACTCCATGCGTGTCCTGAGTATATGAGAGGACGTGGGGCCTATGGGCAGAGCCAGCTGGGTGGGGCTGCTCTGGCCTGAGAAGCGAGGGAGGAATTGCTGAGCAGAAAAGGCATCATAACTGCAAACACAACAACTAACTCCCTTAGGCTAAGAGTCCAGGGGAGGGCTTCCCTGGTGGCACAGGGTTGAGAGTCCGCCTGCCGATGCAGGGGACACGGGTTCGTGCCCCGGTCCGGGAAGATCCCACATGCCGCAGAGCAGCTGGACCCGTAAGCCATGGCCGCCGCTGAGCCTGTGCGTCCAGAGCCTGTGCTCCGCAACGGGAGAGGCCACAACAATGAGAGGCCTGCGTACCGAAAAAAAAAAAAAGAGTCCAGGGGAGCAGTTTGTCAGATGAGGGGATCGTGAGTGAAGCACTTGTGCTCACCTCTCAGTGATCCACGCTGGGTTTGAGGAACTAGTGAGAGAGCGAGCCCTGGGGCTCAGGGGTGGAAGGCAGGGAGGGGCCTGGGTACCTGGGAATCTGGTGACTGGGGGGGTCACATCCACTGCCAAGAACGGTCTGCCTCAGCGTGCTGTTGGTGTCACCCTGCTGCTCAAACGAGGAACGAGAAGGTCACGTCAGAGAGTCCAGGTAACTTCCCCATTCGTTGTTCAGCAGGCCCAGCAGCCCGGGATTAGAGGCTAGAAGGGAGGGAGCCTCAGGAGGTGGCCCGGCCACGCCCTCCATGTGACCCGCCCCTGCGTGCCCACACTCCCAGAACTACGTTACCTGCTGGAGCTCCCCTGGGCGGCACTGCTGAGGCTTCGTGCCTGGGTAGCCCATGGCAGCTGCAGGGCAGGCCCTGTTCACAGGTACCCCATCGGTACAGGCCCGTCCGTGGGTGCCACTGAGGTAGGGCTGCCCATTGGCTCGGTGGCCTGGGAGCCCTCCCAGTGGTACCATAGTGTATTGGCAGGAGGAGGGCAGAAGGGCACTTCGAGGAAAACCCAAGTCTGTTGTATGTTCTGGAAGAACAGAAGGATAGAGCTACGCTTAGGTCAAGGAGGCCTGGGGCAGCTTGAAAAAGTCCCACGTGAGTCTCAGAAAACTCCTGAGGACTTAAGGTCAAATGAGGTAGGCGGGGAGTTGGCATCGCGCCAGGGTAGAGAATATTCTTTCTCTCGGAAAATTCTTCCTGTCTCCCACTTCTTCCTAACATCTAGACTTTTTTTTTTTTTTTTTGCAGTAGGGAGAGGAGACACAGGACCAGGATTGGGGAGAATGAAGTGGCAAGTTAACACAAGGAACAAGATTTAAATGAAGCAAGTTGGCCAGATGTGTTACCATCTGAAGCAGAAATCAATGGATAAATCAGATTAACCTAGGATTAGGGGGAAAGCTCGAGGGAGCCACAGACCTAAAGAGGCGGGAAGAGGCAGGGTCAACTGAAAGTATGAGTACGTGGTCAGAGCTTGAGACAGTAAAAGAAAACAGAGCCAGCTAAGTACTGAGCTCTAGGGATGCAGAGGACATAGACCAACTCCCACTTCCTCCTCTCCATCTGCCAACACCTATGAGCCGAAGGGAAGGCCCCATCTGTGAGCGTTCTCCGACTCTCTCCAAGCCCTCTGGGGACCCACCAGGAACCTGAGCTCCCATGTGTGAAGCAGGGCGCCTGGGATCCTGCCCTGGGCAGAGGCCTCCTTAGGGACTGGGAGACCCCTCCTCCCCTCACCCCCGCCCCAGGCTCCTTCCCCTTGGTGTTGAGGACGGTCATTCACTCACTCACTTTGCTTAGACCAGGCCCTCCACAAGCAGAAGGGGATGAAGGCAACGATGATGAGGACGATGGAGCCCAGGACGACCCCGACGATCAGGTAGGGCAGGTCGCTGGAGCGGGCCACCATGGCCCCTGTGCCCACCGGCCGCTCTATGGTTTCATGGGGTGGTAGCTGTGGCGGGGCCAGAGTTGGGGGTGGGAGTCGACCAGGCTGACCAGAAGACTTCCGGGCTGTTAATTGGGACAAAACTCACTTCAGCCTCTATTTCTTTGACATTTCTTTCACGAAAAAATAGGAAAACAATATCCTGATTCCATGGGTGTGAGAAACGGGGTCAAACTTGTAAGACAGGGCCTTTGGTGGATGAGCGTGGTGTCCAAGCTTAGCATGAAATTGACATCTAAGGTGAAATTGGGCGTCGCTGAAGACACTTGAGCCTTATACTTCAAAAAACACCCTGAGATATTTGTGGACCAAGCACTAGGGGCAGACTGGGTCTTTGGGGGCAGAAGTGGTGTAGGGGTTTTCTAGAAGCATAGCTGGGGAACTTTTGGAAGAAAATATAAAAAGTACCTGAAACCAGAAAGAACTGGGAATGGAAGAACTTCCCCGTGAATTTGCTATTCCTGGGTGCATCGAGAGATGTGAAGTCCTAGGTCTGAGCTGGGGTGCAGAGCAGGGAGACGGGGTTCGGGGCTCACTAGGACTGACAGTGCTAGAGAAATGCCAATCCAAAAGTTTACGAGGTGGCAACCTCGGCATCTGGCTTTTGCTGTTATCAGGATGTATCTGACATCGTTAACTCCTTTTCGCAGCCGTCCTCCCCCGTGACTTTCTGATACTACAGTCTTCTGGGTTTCCCGTAACCTCTCTGCCGCTGCTGCTTATATTTCTCTCTTCTTGCCCTTTTCTTCCTGTCTTTGCCTCAGACACTGAGAAGTCTTCTAGTTCCTCTCAGACTACACTCTGTCTTCTTCTTCCCTCTATTCCCGTGATTTCAGCCTACATCCCAGTGACCGCCAAATACCCTTACCCAGGGTCCTCCCTGGGTAGGAGACCTGCTTCCCTCACGGGACACTTGCATTTCAACGTCTCAGAAGAATCAGACTCAGGTACGCCTCCAAGTGGTTCACGTTGTTCCTTTCTTGTGGAAGCGAGTTCCCTGCTGGCTTTCCCCTTTTCGATAGATGGCACCACCACCTGTGTGGTTCTTCAAGTTCAAAACCTCAAGGTTTACGCTGAACTCCTTTCACTCTCTCCCAGCCTCAACACACTATCAGTCCCTGGTCCTCCCTACGCTCCCTAAGAGGCTCAAACCCACCCCTTCTCTTCACCTTTCCTTCGCGGCCCCGGTTCTCTCCCCTCAGCCCATTCGTGCATAGTCACCAGTGACCCTTCCTGACAAACAAATCCAACAACGACCCTTCTCCACCTCACAGCCCACAGGGTCCCTGATGCTCGTGGCCTCTTCCCTGAGCACTGCCCTCTCTCATCCTTCCAGTGCCACATACTCCCACCATGCGGAGCTACGTGAAGGCTTGTCCTACGCCCCAGGCCACTGCCTCCACCCTGCTGAAGGTTCAGTCCTTCCAGAAGACCAATGTGAAGGCTGTGTGAAGTCTCTGTTCTTTGCCCCGGGCACTCTGCGTGTCCCCTGACACAGGAATGCTGGCTGTGTGCGCATCTGCCCCTTCACTGTACGTGACAGAAGAGGGCAGGAAGGGCACACGGGAGACAGAATGTTGCTGTGACAGGAAAATGGATCGTTTTCTTGGCTCTATCCCTGTTCCTCTGGGATCTTCTCCTGATTACAATTTTTTGCAATACACCTTTCAGTATTTGCAAAATGGAAATGATATCTATCCACTTGACCGATGTGCAAAAATCAAGTTATTATATGAATATATTTAACGTGTTTTAGTGCAGGGAAAGAGTATGGGCTTGTAGTTGGACAAACTTGGCCCAAAGTGTGCTCCACCGCTAACCAGCTGTGTGACCTTGGTCAAGGTATAACATGTCGTGATGCTCAGTTTCTTTTCCCATGGGGTTGTAGTTAAATTAAGTAAACTAACCAATGTGAGTACCAAATGTTACTGTAGGAATAAAGTGTTTATAGAAAGCTCCCAACTTAAGAGTGGGTTCTAACCCATGAGTTCACGTGTGAGTTAATTCCCAAGCTCCATGAAACCGTCATGATGGCAGCCCACTTGCACTTAATACGAAGCACAGGCAAATGAAGAGAAGGGTTAAGATGACAAAGTTTGGGGATACTTGGAAAATAAGGAGTCATTCTGGAGAAGAGATACCCAGCATGGCACACAGAGCAGTGACTCTGCCCTAGTCTGCTGGGAGGAGAGCGAGAGGAGATCAGAGAACCCAAAGAGATCACCTTTGGTTTCACAGATCATCACGTTGCTGAACTCACTCTCCCCTCCTTCGTTGAAGCACTGCATCTTAATGTCATAGGAGGTCTCTGGCTGCAGGTGGCTGATGGAGTGCCAGTATCTATCCCCTGGGAAAGACAGAGAGTCAGTGTGATGATTATGCATGTGGCTTGCTTGGCCCCCACTGGAGGCAATGTTCTAGGTGCCCACCCATGTTCCTGTTGTCCCATCACCATGGAAAGAAGCATGTGGGTTTATGAACTCAATGACCCCAAGTGTGTCAAGAAAGAGCCAACGATGTGGGGCAGGCCAGCCCACGTTTTCTACTTTCACCAACTCCTAGAGCCCCTTGCCAACAGAGGAAACTATCTCACACACGTGTTTCTCACCTTCCACCATATCCTTCTTGTAGTCACTATCATTGTCACTGTCCGTGGGTCGGTAATAGATATAAAAGCCATGGATTGGGGTGTTGTTGTTACTTGCTGGAATATACTACAGGGAAGAAAGAAGAAACAAGTTGACAACGGAGCAGAGAAATCATCGTGTGATCAAAACCACTGGGGGATGGAAATTTTACCCTGGCCTAGAGTTTAAAACTCACTGGAGACCCCAACTAGGGGTTGGGCCTGGGCCTCCAGGGTGGAGACATAGAGTCCAGGATGCTGGAACACCAGAGAATTCCCGGGCCCAGGGAATATTAATTGGCGTGCACGTTCCTGAAGGTATCCATATCAACACCAAGACCCGACCGCACACAACTGCCTGCAGGCTCCAGTGCCAAACACCTCACACCAAACAACCAGCAAGACAGGCCCATCCATCAGTAGACAGGCTGCCTAAAGCTGGACTAAGTTCACAGACACCCCAAAACATACCACCTGATGCAGCCCTGCCCATCAAGAGGGAAAAGACTCAACTCCACCCAACAGAGCACGGGCACCAGGTGCTCCCACCAGGAAGCCTGTACAAGCCCCTGGACCGACCTCACCCAGCAGGGGGCAGTCAACAGAAACAACAAGAACTATGACCCTCCAGCCTGCAGAAAGACGACCATAAACAAAGTAGGTTAGACAAAATGAAATGACAGAGAAACACTCTGCAGGCAAAGGAGCAAGGTAAACTCCCACAAGACCAAATAAATGAAGAGGAAATAGGCAAGCTGTCTGAAAAAGAATTCAGAGCAATGATAATAAAGATGATCCAAGATCTAGGAAATAGAATGGGGAAAAAACAAGAAACATTTAACAAGGACCTACAAGAACTAAAGAAGAAACAAACAGTGATGAACCACACAATAACTGAAATGAAAAATACATATGAAGCAATCAACAGCAGAATAACCAAGGCAGAAGAACGAATAAGTGAGCTGGAAGATACAATGATGGAGTTAACTGCCAAGGAACAGAAGAAAGAAAAAAGAATAGAATTGAGGACAGTCTAAGAGACCTCTGGGACAACATCGAACACACCAACATTCGAATTATAGGGGTCCCAGAAGAAGACGAGGAAGGGAAAGGGCCGAGAAAATATTCGAAGAGATTATAGTTGAAAACTTCCCTAACGTGGGAAAAGAAATAGTCAATCAAGTCTAGGAAGCACAGAGTTCCATACAGGATAAACCCAAGGAGAAACACGCCGAGACACATGTTAATCAAACTAACAAAAATTAAATACAAAGAAAAAATATTAAAAGCAGCAAGGGAAAAGCAACAAATAACCTACAAGGGAATCCCCATAAGGTTATCAGCTGATTTTTCAGCAGAAATTTTGCAGGCCAGAAGGGAATGGCAGGACATATTTAAAGTGATGAAAGGGAAAAACCTACAACCAAGATTACTCTACCCAGCAAGGACCTCATTCAGATTCGATGGAGAAATCAAAAGCTTTACAGACAAGCAAAAGCTAAGAGAATTCAGCACCACCAAACCAGCTCTACAACAAATGCTAAAGGAACTTCTCTGGGAGGGAAACACAAGAAAAGAAAAAGACCTTCAAGAATAAACCCAAAACAATTAAGAAAATGGGAATAGGAACATACATATCTATAATCACCTTAAATGTAAATGGATTATATGCCCCAACCAAAAGACAGAGACTGGCCGAATGGATACAAAAACAAGATCTATATATATGCTGTCTGCAAGAGACCCACTTCAGACCTAGCGACACATACAGACTGAAAGTGAGGGGATGGAAAAGGATATTCCATGCAAGTGGGAATCAAAAAAGCTGGAGTAGCAATACTCATGTCAAACAAGATAGACTTTAAAATAAAGACTATTACAAGAGACAAGGAAGGACACTACATAATGATCAAAGGATCAATCCAAGAAGAAGATATAACAACTGTAAATACCTATGCTCCCAACATAGGAGCACCTCAATACATAAGGCAAATGCTAACAGCCATAAAAGGAGAAATCGACAGTAACACAATAATAGTGGGGGACTTTAACCCTCCACTTACACCAATGGACAGATCATACAAAATGAAAATAAATAAGGAAACACAAGCTTTAAATGACACATTAGACAAGATGGGCTTAACTGATATATTTATAGGACATTCCACCCGAAAATGGCAGAATACACTTTCTTCTCAAGTGCTCATGGAACATTCTCCAGGATAGATCACATCTTGGGTCACCAATCAAGCCTCAGTAAATTTAAGAAAACTGAAATCGTAGTCAGCATCTTTTCCAACCACAATGCTCTGAGATTAGAAATCAATTACGAGAAAAAAACTGTAAAAAATACAAACACAGGCTAAACAATACGCTACTAAATAACCAAGGGATCACTGAAGAAATCAAAGAGGAAATCAAAAAATACCTAGAAACAAATGACAATGAAAAGGCGATGACCCAAAATCTATGGGATGCAGCAAAAGCTGTTCTAAGAGGGAAGTTTATAGCAATACAATCTTACCTCAAGAAACAAGAAACATCTCAAATAAACAACCTAACCTTACACCTAAAGCAACTAGAGAAAGAAGAACAAACAAAACCCAGAGTTAGTGGAAGGAAAGAAATCATAAAGATCAGGCCAGAAATAAATGAAATAGAAACAAAGAAAACAATTACAAAGATCAATAAAACTAAAAGCTGGTTCTTTGAGAAGATAAACAATATTGATAAACCATTAGCCAGACTCATCAAGAAAAAGAGGGAGAGGACTCAAATCAATAAAATTAGAAATGAAAAAGGAGAAGTTACAACAGACACTGCAGAAATACAAAGCACCTTAAGAGACTACTATAAGCAACTCTATGCCAATAAAATGGACAACCTGGAAGTAGTGGACAAATTCTTAGAAAGGTATAACCTTCCAAGACTGAACCAGGAAGAAACAGAAAATATGAACAGACCAATCACAAGTAATAAAATTGAAACTGTGATTAAAAACCTTCCAACAAGCAAAAGTTCAGGACCAGATGGCTTCGCAGGTGAATTCCATAAGACATTTAGAGGAAGAGTTAACACCTATCTTTCTCAAACTCTTCCAAAAAATTGCAGAGGATGGAACACTCCCAAACTCATTCTATGAGACTACCATCATCCATCCTGATACCAAAAAATCAGACAAAGATATCACAAAACAAGAAAACTACAGGCCAGTATCACTGATGAACACAGACGCAAAAATCCTTAACAAAATACTAGTGAACAGAATCTGACAGCACATTAAAAGGATCATACACCATGATCAAATAGGGTTTATCCCAGGGATGCAAGGATTCTCCAATATATGCAAATCAATCAGTGTGCTACACCACATAATTAAATTAAAGAATAAAAACCATATGATCATCTCAATAGATGCAGAAAAAGCTTTCAACAAAATTGAGTACTGATTTATGATAAAAAAAAACTCTCCAGAAAGTGGGTATACAGGGAACCTACCTCAACATAATAAAGGCCATATATGACAATCCCACAGTAAACATTATTCTCAATGGTGAAAAGTTGAAAGCATTTCCTCTAAGATCAGGAACAAGACAAGGGTGTCCACTCTCGCCACTATTATTCAACATAGTTTTGGAAGTCCTAGCCAAGGCAATCAGAGAAGAAAAAGAAATAAAAGAATCCAAATTGGAAAAGAAGAAGTAAAACGGTCACTGTTTGCAGATGACATGATACTATACATAGAAAATCCTAAAGATGTCACCAGAGAACTACTAGAGCTAATCAATGAATTTGGTAAAGTTGCAGGATACAAAATTAATACACAGAAATCTCTTGCATTCCTATACACTAACAACGCAAAGGCAGAAAGAGAAATTAAGGAAACAATCCCATTTACCACTGCAAGAAAAAGAATAAAATACCTAGGAATAAACCTACCTAAGGAGGCAAAAGACCTGTACTCAGAGAACTATGAAACACTGATGAAAGAAATCAAAGATGACATAAACAGATGGAGAGATATACCATGTTCTTGGATTAGAAGAATCAATATTGTGAAAATGACTATACTACCAAAAGCAATCTAGAGATTCAACGCAATCCCTATCAAATTACCAGTGGCATTTTTTACAGAACTAGAACAAAAAAATCTTAAAATTTGTTAGGAAATACAAAAGACCCCGAATAGCCAAAGCAGTCTTAAAAACAGTGAAGCTGGAGGAATCAGGCTCCCTGACTTCAGACTATACTACAAAGCTACGGTAATCAAGTACTGGCACAAAAACAGAAATATAGATCAATGGAACAGGACAGAAAGCCCAAAGATAAACCCATGCACCTATGCTCACCTAATCTATGACAAAGGAGGTAAGAATATACAATGGAGAAAAGACAGCCTCTTCAATAAGCGGTGCTGGGAAAACTGGACAGCTGCATGTAAGAGAATGAAATTAGAACATTCCCTAACACCATACACAAAAATAAACTCAAAATGGATTAAAAACCTAAATGGTAAGACCTGACACTACAAAACTCTTAGAGGAAAATATAGGCAGAACACTCTATGACATAAATCACAGCAAGATCCTTTTTGACCCACCTCCTAGAGAAATGGAAATAAAAACAAAAATAAACAAATGGGACCTAATGAAACTTCAAAGCTTTTGAACAGCAAAGGAAACCATAAACAAGACCAAAAGACAACCCTCAAAATGGGAAAAAATATTTGCAAACGAAGCAACTGACAAAGGATTAATCTCCAAAATATACAAGCAGCTCATACAGCTCAATATCAAAAAAACAAACAACCCATCCAAAAATGGGCAGAAGACCTAAATAGACATTTCTCCAAAGGAGACATACAGATGGCCAACAAACACATGAAAAGATGCTCAACATCACTAATTATTAGGGAAATGCAAATCAAAACTACAATGAGGTATCACCTTACACTGGTCAGAATGGCTGATTCTCAATAGAAATAGAGACATAGATGTAGAGAACAAATGTATGGATACCACGGGGGAAAGGGGTGGGAGGGAGGAATTGGGAGATTGGGATTGACACATATACATTATTGATACTATGTATAAAATAGACAACTGATGGGAACATACTGTAAAGCACAGGGAACTCTACCTAATGTACTGTGGTAACCTAAATGGGAGGGAAGTCCAAAAGGGAGGGGATATCTTTGTGTGTATGGCTGATTCATTTTGTTGTGCAGTGGAGGCTAACACAACATTGTAAAGCAACCATACTCCAATAAAAATTAATAAAAAATTCACTGGAGACCCTGACAAACATTTCTGATGGTCTCCCCAAGGCTCTCTGGACAGTGCTGTAGCGATCACTCATTATTTTATTTAGCCTAGGAGTCCCTAACTTTTGGAGACAAGAAACAAATGGTCATTTCTTCAAAGACTTAAGTCCCGTCTGCAGTTTCCCGGGTATTGTGAGGTTGAGTCCCTCTGGCCCAATTCCCAGGTACGAAGCTGGAGGAACACTTAAAGGGGTAGCAGCCTAGAATGAGCCAAGGGAGAAAGGTGATTCCTTCCTGCCCGGGCTGCAGCGTCCAGCTCCCACCCAACATGGAGCTCAGCACCGTCTTCCGCTGCTGGCTGCGCCAGGCCACTTACCATCCACTTGAGCATGATGGTGGTCTCGTTGACGGCATCGGTGAAGGTGATGTAAGGGCCTGCCACGGGCCTCTCGTACACACGGCCGCTGTAGCCTGACACAGCGTAGGGCCGGGAGGGGGCGCTGGGCTCGCTCTCCCCCAGCATGTTCAGAGCCCGGACTCGGAACTTGTAGGAGGTGCCTGGGGAGAGACACTCACTGAACCTGGGGGCTGGGAGACACCATCTCCCTCCCCTTCAGCCCATCCAGGCTCAGGACCTGGAGGGATCTTTTGGGCAGCCCTTCCCCAAAAGCAAGCCCCAAAGGACTTAAGCACTCCTACCCTCATTAGAAAGGAGCCACACAGAGAAAAGGGAACCCTCTTGCACTCTTGGTGGGAATATAAATTGGTATAACTGCTATGGAGAACAGTATGGAGGTTCCTTAAAAAACTAAAAATAGAGCTATACCATATGATCCTGCAATCCCACTCCTGGGCATATATCCAGAGAAAACCACGGTCCGAAAGGATACATGTACCCCAATGTTCACTGCAGCACTGGTTACAATAGCCAAGATGTGGAAGCAATCTAAATGTCCACTGACAGAGGAATGGATAAAGAAGATGTGGTACTTATATACAATGGAATATTAGCCATAAAAAAGAATGAAATAATGCCATTTGCCCCAACATGGATGGACCTAGAGATTGTCATACTGAGTGAAGTTAAGTCAGAGAAAGACAAATATCATATGGTATCCCTTATATGTGGAATCTAAAAAAAAAAAAAAGATACAAATGAACTTACTTACATACAAAACAGAAACAGACTGACAAGGGGGGGAAGGGTGGGGCGGGGGAGGGATAGTTAGGGAGTTTGGGATTGACGTGTACACACTGCTGTATTTAAAATGGATAACCAACAAGGACCTGCTGTATAGCACAGGGAACTCGGCTCAATGTTATGTGGCAGCCTGGATGGGAGGGGAGTCTGAGGGAGAATGGAAAGATGTATATGTGTGGCTGAGTCGCTTAGCTGTGCACCTGAAACTAACAAACCATTGTTAATCAACTCTACTCCAATATAAAATAAAAAGTTAAAAAAAAAAAAAAAAGGAGGCACCACGCAGGAGGTGGCTTGGGACCAATTATGGAGAGAGGGAGGGAGAAGGAAGGCCTTGTGGGACTGAAGTAACACAACCAAGAGTGGCCACAGGAGGCTGGTGGTGGGTGGACGACAAGCAGAGAGAAGACCCTCCAAAGCTTCCCTTCTCCTCCAGGGGGTCGAGGGCAGCAGGGGGACCAGGGAGGGCAGTGGCCAGGGCCCTACCTTTCTCTAGGCCTGTGATCTCCACTGAGAGCCGGGAGGGAGGGATGGCGCTGGTGGCCAGAATCCAGTCCCCCACTTTCTTCAGCTTCTTGTACTCCACTCGGAAGGACTGGATGGGGAAGCCGCCGTTCCCACGCGGAATCCAGGTCACATACACTGAGGTCTCAGAGGCCATGGAGATAGTGGGCCTGTCTGGAGCTTCTGGGGCTGCAGGAGACGATACCCAAGGGAGGAAGGAAGTGGGAGGAAAGGACATGATGAGAAGATGGTTGCAATGTGACTAGACCTGGCCTGTTCCTGATGGGGGCCAGCTTCACCCCACAGCCCTCACCCCCTGGTGGCCGCGTCAGATCTCTCTAGGGCTCTCTGGGTCACTCTCTCCTGGGAGGAGCCCTTGAAAAGCTCCAATCCATATCTCCTCGCTGTGGTTAACTGGGGAGAGGCCAGGAAAATGTCACAAGGACTCCGGGACTCAAGACCGCATTCAGCCTGCAGCAGTGAGCCTTCTGAGGCGGTGGACCTGGTTCCAGTTCTGACTGCTCGTCACTCCCGCCCTCGGGGCTGCCGGGGGCTTACGGGACAGGCGGCCGTGGTCCGGCTGGCTGCTGCTCTGGGGGCTGGCTCCAGGGTCATCTCTCTGGATCTGCTGCTCTTTACTGGCCATGATTTCAGGTTTGGGCCGCCGTCCTGGGTAGAAATGGGTTGAGATCAGCACGAGAGGGAGTGTGCATTAGGTCTCTCCTTCCACACAGTCCTTTCTGCCTGAAGCTCTGCCAGGGGGTCTGACAAGACCATGGAAATAATAGAGGACACTGGAAGTGTGGTCTGAGTTCCAGCTCTGCCCGACAGTCATGAGATTGCACGTGGCCCCCAAGTGTGAAAGGGGCAAAGGGATGCCAGAGGCCAGCTGGTGCCTGTCCTGATACGAGGCGGGACCTCAGCCTAGGCATGCAGACCAGAGGGAGGCAGGAGCTGAAAGGAAGATGAAGTTCAAGGTGAAAAGCTGGGGCAAGGTGAGCAGGACGCCCACCTGGCCTGGTAGGACCGCTCAGGCCCATGGAAGCCCCAAGCTGGGGACAACATTGGACCCTTACCAGTTCGGAAGGTGACCATGGCCGTCTGGCCTTCGCCTGCACAGTTGTAGGCTGCCATCTCTACTTCATATAAGCTCCCAGGGTCGAGTCTGGTGAGGGTCAGGCGGTGCTGGCTGGCTGGAATGCCAGAGATGGTCCAGTCGTCAGAGGAGTTTGTGACCTGCTGGAGAAGGTGGCTGGTATAAGGACCGGCATCTTGGCCTGGAGCTACAGGTGGGCTGTAGGTTGCAAGGAAAGCAGAACTGAGGCCAAGAGGACAGAAGAAAGGGAGGGAAAATGGGCCAGGTTAGGGGAGAGGTGGCCCTACAGAAGGCAGACCGTTCCTGCTGGCTCTGGGACATCCATCCTCGCTGGGACAATAAAGTCAGGCTCCCTGACCCCTCATCTAATGATCTCGTCAAAACTCTGTGGGGAGGGTCAAAAGGCCCAGATGACATTGCTGAGAGTTTCTCCAAAGACCTTCTCTCTCTTTCTAAAAACCTCCCTATTGCTTGCCTAAGATCAAGTGTGTAAAAACCTCCCTATTTAACTTTCTTTCTCCTCGATCTATTTAAACCAAACAAACAGTACCTTTAGTTTATATTCTAATGAGATGATGATGAGAATGATAAAAGCAGCAGCATCATAGGGCTTCCCTGATGGCGCGGTGGTTGAGAGTCCGCCTGCCGATGCAGGGGACCCGGGTTCGTGCCCCGGTCTGGGAAGATCCCACATGCTGCAGAGCGGCTGGGCCCGTGAGCCATGGCCGCTGAGCCTGCGTGTCTGGAGCCTGTGCTCCGCAACGGGAGAGGCCACAACAGTGAGAAGCCCGCGTACCACACACACACACACACACACACACAAAAAGCAGCAGAATCATAGAAATGGCCACATTTTTTGAGAGCTTACTATGTGCTAAGCACGTTGTATGCACCATAACACGCCTCCACGACAACAGCCCAAGAGATGGGTGTTAATATTGTTCCCACCTCACAAATGCAGAGACTAAGGTTTAGAGAGATGAGTGATTTATCTAAGACCACATTGCCAGTGAGCGCAGAAACCCTGACTTGACTCCAGATATCAAACTCATAATCGTAACCTACCCTAGAAAGGAAGTCTGGGAGCCAGAAAATCCTGGGTTCAAATCTGGATTGTGTGTCTTACCACACACAGGTTACCAGCTGTGTAACCCTGAGCGAGTTCCCTCATCTTTCGGATCCCTAAGCTTTTCTTTTCTAAAATGAAGCAAATAAAACCTCTCAGGTTACTCTGAAGTTTAAATCCGATGATTTACGTGACGTGTCGAACGTTGAAGCTGGCACACAGTAGGTTCCCAACAAGTACATGCCGTGCCCCCTCTTCCTCCACTCGGTGAGGATTTCAATCCTCCTTTTTCTGCTCCTGCCCTCAGGCCTTGCTTAGAACTTAAAAACCGTGGATGAACTGTAACCATTAGAGATTAATCTTTAATGGCTTCAAATTCCTGGCTCCTTAAAGAAAAAAAGAAAAAAAAAAGGAGTTCCAGGCTTCCGGACAGGCGTTGCTGAGAGGTTGCTTCATCTCACCCACCCACCTTTCAGGACACAGACTTCACTGCTAACTGTGCACATCTCCGTGAGCCTGCTGGGGCCTGAAGCTGTGGTTTGCTGAAGGAATTAAACAGCTGGTAGGAAAAGCTCTTATCCCCAAGCAGAATATTCCAAATTAGAACAAAACCTACTATTCAAGTGACAGGGATGGTCTGGGCTCATTCATGTCAGGCTTCCAGGACTTGTTCCAAAGGGAGAAGTTTTTACAAACTGAGAATCCCCAGTGGTGCTGGAAACCCAAACACAGTAGCCCAGGGTCTGCAGATGCACCAGGAAATGAAAGCTGGCTTCATGCATGTGAAAAAGTGAAAATGAGTTGAATTGACTCCCAGTCTCCAGCAAGAGGGGAGGGGCTGAAAAAACACAACCCAAATGCTGATTTTTGCTTTCTTGTGTGATGATCTTGAAGACACGTTACTCCCTCAAGAATGAAACTGCTTTCAAGACATAATCGTGCCTTGGCAATGCCCACCTAACAGCTCCAAGTGCCCCATGGGCCAGAGGCGAACAGAAGCCAGACGCAGCGGGGCACCGTCCTCTCACTTCCCCTGTGCCCCTTTTCTCCCTCTGCCTCCTAGCGCTGGCCTCACTTCCACTGGGCTCAGAAATGAAAATAAGAAATGGAACGGTAATTAGTCACTGTCACGCATACTGAGAGGGTGAATGCGGCCTCAGCCTGGCGTTTCCGGATCACCTCATGTGGCCTTTGCCAGCCTGCCTCTTGGTGAGGCCGTTTCATGGCCACCTATTGGCCAGAAAAATATTATTCTTGCTTTCATGCTGGTTCCTGCCTCCTGGGGACCACGAGCATTTGGCCCGCCCTGATCTTTGTCTCCAACTCTGCAGATGGAGGTGTCCAGTTACACGGGGAAGTGAGGATTTGGACCAGCCCTGCCCCATAACCTGGGTTGAACAACACTGCTTTTTGTTAAAAACTCATCCACCCCCTTTGCTGGCTGCCTATGAAGAGGCCAGCAGGCCGAGGGTTAATTAGAAACTGCCCCCTCTCGACCCCCACCTAGGAGGCGGCTTTGCCTTAGGTGCCTCTGTGGACCTGTCCTGGCCGGAGGTCTCCTCGGAGAGCGTGTTAAGAGGAAGACCAGAACGACGGGGCTGTCGAGGTCCGGAGCAGGGGCAGAGCTTCTGCACAGGTGGCACCTTTCACTGAGTTTCGCTGGCTTTGTTTCTTTTTGGAGAGGGAGGCAAGTTGATAAATGCTTTTCGTTCCGCATTCCTATATTTTCCGTATTTTCTACCAAGTGCACATGGTACTTTTGTTAGCAACAACTAAAGAGATGCATAATAAAACCTGGCATTTATGATACATTATTACTTATCAAATAAGATTTAAAAAATCCATTAAGAAAAATAATTTTCTACTGTCTAATGGCCGTAGGAAAAAAACAGCATGCACCTGGGATAAACAAAAATGTTTTCAAGGATATTTTCTTAAGGGGAATTTCATGTCCTTCTCCCCTGAGGGGTCAGAGCAGGTGAGAGTGCAGCCTTGAACGGGGGTTGCGGGGGGTGGGGTGGGGTGGCAGTCCGGGGGCTGCGTCCTGTCTCGGAGGGCAGAGTGTCTAAGAAGGTGGGCCGGCCCAGCTCTGTCCCCGGATCCCTCCCTGAGAGCTCCCAACACATCCACCTGGACAGACCTCCTTCTGCCAAGGAGAAATAGCTGAGGTCTGAACAACACGATGTGCTTTTAGCTCAAAGGCCTGCTTGTCAAAGCTGAGCCAGGAGGAATCCTGAAAACTGAGGCGGTATTTTGTAGCCCTCAGAGAAAACACTTGCTCACAGATATTTGTTTTCCTGGCTCTAAAGCTAGCTTGCCACGCCCGGGTTCCTGCAGGTAAGCACCGGCAGAGCTTACTTAGATTCAAAACAAAACAAAACATCAACAACAAACGGCAGAGGGGAGGACTGGGGTGGTCATTAGGGAGCCTACGAACTCTCCTCGGGACTAGAAGCTGGTGTGCGAGGCTCAGACCTGGAAGCACACCCACGGCTTCTTCCGGGCCTCTTAGGGCCCCAGATGCCCATCTCACAACCAGCTTCCCGGGGGGTGGTGGGAAAGCACGCTGGAGGGATCAGGTGGTCACGATCATCAGCAGATACGACTCCTCCAGGCTTCAGGAGCTCGAGGGGAGATGGTCAGCGGGTGGAGGCCCCTGCCCAGCCTCAGCGAGAGGTAGGCGCAATGCCAGACACCATACCTTGCGGTGTTTCACCACATAGTAGAGGATCGGTGCCCAGCCGCTGCCCTCGTGCCGAGGCCGCCACACCAGCTCGTACGAGTCAGTCTTGGAGGTGCGGGGCGAGCTGAGGATGACAGGTGCCTCGGCGGGGGCCACCTGCCCCTGCTCTCCCAGGCACGGCAAGGGTGCTGGCTGCGCCGACGCCGGTGGCCTCAGAGCCCCTGGATGGCCCTTCGGCATCTGGGCAGGGCTTCCGGGTCCGGGCGGGGGCACAGGAGGTGTGGCAGTGGCCGGCTTAGCATCCCGCCATGGCCTCAGGGTGGTGCCTGGAGGACAGAGCCAGAAGGAGAAGGTAAGGAAGAGCCCTTAGTCCCCTGGCCACCTGCTGAGCTGTTGTCTCCATGGAGAAAACAGGGAGAAGTCAGAGGGAAGGGCTGCCAGGGCAGGAAGAGCCCCTGGCTCAGGACGTGAAGTGACCATCAGCCCACTGGACACACAGCCGGGCTCCGTGGGGGTAGAGGGCTGTGCCCCAGCCTGGCCAGGAGGGAAAGGCAGCCGGACGCCCCTGCCCGGGCTTCTCGCCGCCGGCTTGTTTTCCTGTGTCTGCACCGGGTGTGTCTGAGCGAACCATCTCAATTTGCTCCTGAGGTGCAGGAGCCTGTGTCCTTTTTCTCACGTTCTGTGTGGGTGTGGGGACGTGTCCCCTTCACTGTGGGATCCACACCATGGGACAGTGTGGGCCTCTCCCTGCTCCACTGTGGGGACCTGGAAGTGTGAACTGTGAATGTAAATACGTCTGAGACTTTCAGAGGCAGGAGGGGTCGCTCCTCCTTCAGGAAGCGTCCACAGACTCCGCCAACACTAGTTTCTGCTACCCGACCTCCTGCGCAGGAGGTTGGCTCCTGATAAAGATGAGTCAGCATTACTCCTTGCTGTATTTTTCTCCAGTTGATTCTTCGGTAAGTTTTATTTCCTCCCTAGGAAAGGTAGGGTCTCTGCATCCCCCTCATTGCCTAGCCCAGTGCTGAGCAAATAGCAACTGCTCAATCCATGTAGATGTCAACTGAAAGGAATCAAACTAACAAAGACAGAGGTGCTTTCCTTTGTGCTGGACCAGTGGCTGTCCAGCTGGGTTCCACGGAACTCTCGGAAGCCACAGGTTCTGCAAACTAATTTAAAAGGTTTTTGTTTTTTTTTTAAATACAGTATTTAAATGGGTCATCTGCACTACTGAAAATCTGCACTTCTGACTTATTAGGAAGTCAATGTAAATTTAAACTTACAACTAAAAGCCACATTTATTTATTTTATTATATACTGGGGTTTTAAGCTGGATTCCATTTGAGAAAAGGGTTCTATAAATGTTCAGCTGGAATCTCAGACCCTTGGGCTGCACTCACCCGGCCTGGCGGTCCTCAGCTGGACCACAGCGTGGGCGCTCCCGACTTCATTCTCGGCCATGCACTGGTAGACGCCTTCATCCTCGGGCCCTACACTGACCACCCGCAGGGCCCTACGGGACAGTCGGAGGCGCTGGCTGGAGGTGAGGGGCACGGCGTTCCTTAGCCACAGCACGGAGGGCGGGGGGTTCCCTCGCACCTCACAGGTGAGCTTGGCGCTCTGGCCCCAAGGGATGACCAGCTGGGACAGCTCCATGGTGACCTCGGGGGGTTCTGCCAGGAAACCAGAGCAGAGGTAAGAAAGGCTGAGCCCTTCCATCCAGGCCCAGACAGGCTGGGGAGGGGACTGCTGTTGGGCAAGGCTCCCTCCTTCCCCATGACGTTGGTAGAGGAGAGAAAAGGTCCCATGTCTCCTCCATCAGAGTCGTGACAGGGAAGGGCTACCGGGCCCCTACACCCTGGCCCCTGGGATCCAAGGCCTCCTACTCTCTCAGTTCTCCTCCATCACTCACTTGGCACGTGACCTCTCACAAGGCACGTGACCCTGTCTGAGCCTCAGCTTATGAGCTTCTAATAGAGAGGCTGTGCAGATAAGAGAAGGCCCAGGAAAAGAAGGACTACAGAAGACACTCACCGAACACCTGGACGTTGTAGAGGATGACCGCGGCCCCGGGATCCCCAACCCCGTTGTCAGCCATGCAGCGGTAGGTCCCGGAGTCCTCGTCACTGGTGGTGTCGATGAGGAGGTTGCTCAGCAGGAAACGTGTCTTGTTGTAGCTGGCGACACTGGACCCATCCTTGGCCCAGGTGACCCTTGGGGGTGGGATCCCACCGGCCACACACTCCAGGATGAGACTCTGGCCTTTGGTGACAACGATGGTCTGGGCCTCTGGCGGGTAGATGATGCGGGCAGCCTCAGCAGTGGAGCCTGGAGGGGCAAGGAGAGGAAGGACAGCGTGTAGGACCAGGACTGGGCGCAGAGGATCCCCTCCGCCCTGCCTCAGGTGGCCCAGCCCCAGGCGGCAGCCTGGAGACTGTGGATTTGGAATCAAACAGCTCTTCAGGGGCTTATGACCTATGTCAAGTGGGGCAAGATACTAATTCCCTTGGGCTCCCCAAGGTCCTCCTGCAGAGAGCTGTCACGAGGAAGAAGTGAGACAGCAGTGCAGCAGTAGCATCAACACAACACATGCCGGATGCCCCTCCGGCCCCAGCCCCCCTCCGTCAATGAGACCCTCCCCTTACGGCGCACGCGCAGCCTGTCACTGGTGCCCGAGGTTTTCACTTCCTGGGTCACTGGGTTGTAGGCAGCGCACTTGTACATCCCCTCGTCCTCCTGGCTGGCGTTCACAATCTGGAGGTTCCCCGATGGCATGATCAGGTAGTTATCTGAAGAGAGGACAGGGATGAATTTGGGCCCGGAATCCTGCCCTCAGCAGCTCCCGCAAAGGATCGCGGCAGGTAGGGCCCAAGTCAGAAGTTGTATACCTGAACTCCAACAAGCCCAAACTGGAAATGCTATTCTCCCCATAAAACCTCACACCTAGTGGGGCCCAAGTGTCGGGAGTGACACTAACCAACCAGCTAACAAACTGGCTGGCTGACACCCCACCACCATCCCAAGTTCATACATGGGTCTGTGGAAGAGCATTTTATAACTTTTAAGGGAGCTTGGGTGCCATGGCAAGGAGGCAGGATTTGGGATCTGCCAGACCTGGACTCCAGCTCTGGATCTGCCGCATACTAACTGTGTGATCCTGGGCAAGTTAATTAACCTCTCAGATCCTGTTTCCTCATTTGTAAAACAGCATGATGTGTGCTGCCTCAGAGCCATCTGTAAGGACTGAGAGGCCCGTGCTGCACACATGGGAGATGAGCTGATCATTCCTGCAAGCCACCAGGAAGGAGGGAATTGACTTTAGAATTTCCCATCAGTCTCTGTCATGGTCACAGCTCTGAGCCATCTCACTGCTGAATTTCTGCAGCCAGGGAGGGATATTCTAAGCCCCAAGCCCCACCCTCTCCATGAATACCACTGAAGCCCTTCCCCCTGCATCGCTGGCCTGCTAGGCTCCGTCTGCTTCTGGACCAGGGGTGCCATGGGGGTGGGGTCCCAGGGCTGAGTTCAGCTTCTTTCCACAGGAGACAGATTCACAGCGACTCAGTACACTTGGTGACTGGGTTGGTGTTTAGCTTCCTGGCAGGCAAAGCTTCCTGGTGGCCTGCCCTTGGCAATCTGGATGTCCCTGCAGTCTAGAATCATTGAGTCTGGTACCTGCCTGTCACTGGGCCGCCCCAGGTGTGAGCTGCTTAGGCAAACGCCAGATGGAAAGGAAAAAGCCCTTGACTCTTGTGGGATGGGCAGGCCTTCTCTAGGGGCTACTGCCAGGCCTCTGCTAGGGACAATAGACATTCATACTCTCCTCAGTCTCCGGTTATTTCTGAGTGGAAGGATTAGGCTTTTTACCCTTAAAAAAAAAAAAGTTTTTTGTATTTTCTATAGTAAACATATACTCCCCTTTCATAACCAGGAAGTTAACAAAGATATTTTAAAATCTCTAGGACATTTAAAAAGGTACACATTTTGAAGTGTCGGGTCCAGCCATAGGGTCTACTTGGCCTTGGGTGCAGGTCAGTTGTGGAAAGAAGCTGACTTGGCCTTGAGAGAGAGCTTGTCTCCCTGCTGGCACTCTGTGGGCGAAAGCTTGGTCGCCGCTGGACCAGCTGTCACGTCCACTTAGCAGGAAGCTGTGACTGTTGAGACGGTTGCGTTACCGGCTCTGCTGTGCGGGGGAAGAGCCCCGTCTCCCAACAGGGAACCCCACAGCTCCAGGAATGTCTGGTATGTCAGGCAGCCCTCCTGTGTGTGCCTGGTGTCGGGGAGCTTGCACGGGGAGAGTCTCAGCCCTCATCCGATGGCAGCAGCTCAGAGCATCTGCCAGGGCCTCAAAGGATGAAGAGATTCCTCGCGACAGGCTCAGGGGACCTCCACAACGGAGGCCAATCCCTTCAGGATCCCGCAGGGCTAAATGTCAGGGCAGAAGACAGCTGACGAGCATGGGGAGGGGCTGCCGGCGTGGGGAGGGGGGTTTGGGAAGCACTGCAGAGACGGCCAGCTTCCCTCCTGGCCCCGGCCGCTGGGCTCCTACTTGTTCGCTCACCTCTGGAGGCCTCCAGCCACTCGTGTTTGACGCTGTATCGGACCTGGGCTTTTGGGTGGCTCTCAGGAAGGTGACAGGCGATGACCGCCGTGTTCCCCTCATCCACTTCAATCACGTGCTGCACGTCTAACTTGAAGTCCTGGAGATCTGTGGAGAGAAGGGAAGGGGCCGGTTGGGCCTCAATGGAGGAGAGAGGCAGACAGTGCGACGTTTCAGGGTGGGCTTGTGCCTCAGTGTCTTTAGTCACAATCAACAGCTGCAAGAAGCTCACACACTGGGGGTGCTCTGGGGGTGCTCCGAGTCTTTCCTCCAACCTTTTGGTGTCTAGAGGAGTTTACAGGAGGGAATGTGTGGCCCGCGTCACTGCATGGGGAGCTCAGCTGGGTGTATATAAGCTGAGGGGGCGGGTTGTAGAGAATTCCATGAAGTGGTGCCTGTGACGCAGACCAGCCTCTTTTGTTACACTGACATGGGGGGCAAGTTGGCTACGCCCATCGGCCCCACTGAGCCTGGCTGGAAATGGGTCATAGTCAAGGCACAGGTGTCCCGGCACAGCTCATGGAGACTGAAAGGAACGATACAGAATGCTTTTGTCTGTTTTCCAGTCCAATCAAGAATCGCCTTCTCCTCAGACATCCACAGTGAAAAGTGAAAGGCCCGAGATTCTGCTCAATTGCTAACCGTGGTTACAACCAGAAGGCTGATTCCTGCTACCCAGGAGCTACGCAGTCCTCCCCAGTATCCTCGGGGATTGGTTCCAGGTGCCCTACTAAAATCGGCGGATGCTCAAGTCCCTTATATAAAATTGTGCTGGACAACAATTACAGTCGGCCTGCCGTATCCTCGGATTTTCCACCTGCAGATTCAGAGAGCCGACTACATGTCATGTCATGGCTAATTCTTTCTCAGGGCTAAGGATGGGGATCTGTGGATGCCTGAAGGATTTTCTAAGGCAAAGAGGGATGTCCCCAGTGTGGCTTAATGGCAGTGGAATGCAGGCGAGCCGAGGGTCCTGACGCCAGGCTGCAGTCTCTCCTGACTTAGCTCAGTGGCAGGAAGACTGGGATTTAAACTGGAGAGGATGGAGATCCATCTGGAACCAAAGCAGGATGTTTCCTAAACAATCCAACGGTCCAAACAACAAAACTCTCTTTGAGCCAAATCACTGCTGTGGCTGAACAAAACGGGCCATTTGTGCAACAAAACCGCATTCCAAATTTGGTTTTCAGGATTGTGGCTGAATTTAATTTAAGAGAGGAAATAAAACTAATAGAGAATAAGATAAGAGAGACGAAAATATTTACCCAGACACTCTCTCCATAAAGGTACTCAGAAAGCCCTGGAGGCACCATCTCAGTGCCGACCACACCACATTCTGTTTCGCAGTGTAACTGCAGGTCACAGCAAGACTCCACCTGCCTGTGTGGTTGGTTCCCAGACAAGGCCAAAGGAGCGGTGGGAATCAGGTTTCTCACAGAAGACATGAGCTAATTACCAAAAACAAACTGCTGTCACCAGAGGAGAGCTCAGTGATCAAGGCACTCAGTGAGGTCAAGAGGTTTCCCATTTAATGGAACTTTCAAGAAATTCTTAGTCAAGCCAAGCCAGAGCAGGGCAGGAAAGCCCTTTTATTTCTATGAAAGGATCACTGTCCCCTTGATTCCAATATTCAAGTGTGAACTTTTTAGGGGCAGGGACCAAGTCTTCTTCATGTATGTGTCCTCTGAACCTAACCAGTGCCTGGCGCAAGTAGATGCTCAGTGAATGCTGAATGACCAATGAGTGACTATCTTGGAGCTGGGCCACTCAAGTCAGGTACAAGATGCCCATGCATGTTGCCTGTGAACTCAAATTTCATAGTTGAGTTGGGTCTATAGTTATGAGCTCAAGGGCTTAGCACAACAAATTTTCCATGAACCTTTTATCCAAGTGTGGCCAACCTTTATCTAAGTTTGGATATTTTGAAAATAGAATGTTTCTTGAGTGATTACTTCCAGGGTCACAGGAAAGAGATAAAATAGGTGTACTAAATGTGGAATAAGAAATACATGCTGTTGGTCGGGATAAGGTGGCAGAGTAGAAGACCTTGAGCTCACCTCCTCCCACGAGCACACCAAAATCACAACTAACTGCTGAAGAGCCATCAGTAGAAAAGACTGGAACCTACCAAAAAGACATATTCTACATCCGAGAGACAAAGAAGGAACCACAACAAGATGGTAGTAGGGGCACACTTGAGATATAATCAAATCCCATACCCCCAGGTGGGCAACCCACAAACTGGAGAATAATGTATCACAGAAGTTCTCCCACGGGAACAAGAGAGAGTTCTGAGCCCCATGTCAGGCTCCCCAGCTTGGGGGTCTGGCATCGAGAGGAGGAGACCCCAGAACATTTGGCTTTGAAGGTCAGTGGGGCTTGATCGCAGGAGCTCCACAGGACTGGGGGAAACAGAGATCCATTCTTAGAGGACACACACAAGGTCTTGTGTGCACTGGGACCCAGGGCAAAAGCAGTGACTTCATAGGAGCCTTGGCCAGACCTACCTGCTGGTCTTGGAGGGTCTCCTGGGGAGGCAGGGGGTGGCTGTGGCTCTTTCTTGGGACATAAAAGCTGGCGGCGAACGTATCGGGATTACTCATCTGAAGGCTGACATCTTGCTTGGGTCATTAGCACCAAGACCTGACCCCACCCAACAGCCTGCAGGCTCCAGTGCTGGCACACCTCTGCCAAACAACCAACGCGGCCGGAACACAGTCCCACCCATCAACAGACAGGCTGCTTAAAGACTTCCTGAGCACACAGCCACCTCTAAACACGCTCCTTGACACAGCCCTGCCCACCAGATGGCCAAGACCCAATTCTGCCCATCAGTGGGCAGGCACTGGCACCTCCCACCAGGAAGCCTGCACAAGCCTCTAGACCAGCCTCACCCACCAGGGGGGCAGACACCAGAAGCAAGAAAAACAGTCACATAGCCTGCGGAACTGAGTCCGAAAACACAGGTCTGGACCTACCCTGGGACCAGCTGGTCCCTGGCCACCAGGTGACGAGAGGGGAGTGTACTGCTGGGATACACAGGACATCCCCTACTGAGGGTCACTTCTCCATGGCTGAGAAACATAACTAACCTTCCACATACATAAAAATACAAATAGAAGTTTAGACAAAATGACACGACAGAGGAATATGTTCCAGATAAAGGAACAAGATAAAACCCCAGAAGAACAACTGAGTGATGTGGAGATAGGCCATCTACCAGAAAAAAAGTTCTGAGTAATGATCGTAAAGATGATCCAAGAACTTGGGAAAAGAATGGATGCACAGAGCAAGAAGTTACAAGACGTTTTTAACTAAGAATTAGAAAATATATAAAGAACAACTAATCAGTTGAAGAATAACTGAAATGAAAAATACAGAAGAAATACATGCTGTTGACCGAGTAGTGTGGCAAAAACAATGACAGAATGCCTGATTCATCTCTATGGCCACATTTTGCTTTCCAGGCTGAACCAGTGGGTCCTGGGGGTCAAGGTGAGCTCTCTCATGGATTCCTTCCTTTGGCTGGGTGCAGGGTCTTCTGGGCTTTTAAAGAATTATCTCATCATTATTTAATTTTGTGTTGGTGATAACCAACCCAAACTAAGTTGCAAATTCCTGGCGGGCAACCTATTAATTTTGCACTCCATGCCCCCGCCCCAAGCCCCACTGCACCGTCTTCAGGATGCACCATGCTCACTTGGTCCTTGTCGAGTGACTAGTTTGGAAGGCTGTGCCCAAGGCCAGCTTGGTGGGCCCTGCGCTTGGAAGACTTTCACTTTGCACTGAGCCCCACAAAATATGTAGCCCAGTCTTGGCTGAGCCTCTCAGCCAAGAGAGCGGATGTGTTTTCTCCCCGAGAGAAGGAAGGGTGGACTGCCTGGGCTCAGTGTGTTCTAGCTGGATGTTGCTATCTGCTTTCCCAAGCAAGGCACTGCAGCAATGCAAAGGTCTTAACCCTCCTCAGCACAGGGTGTGCCCTACCTGCCGAGTCAGGAGGCTCCCCACAAAGTGAGCTGTGAGCGATCGTGAGCTCAGCGGCACCTGGAAAATTCCTCAGTCACTGAGAAGCACTCTCATGCATGCTCTAATAAATCTAAAAACTACTCCACCAAGAGTTTCTGAGGTTTTGTTTCACCCTTCTCCTTTACCTCATTCTAAGAAAATCTGCCTCAAGCAAGAATGTACTTAAGCCTAACAGATCATTTTGCAAGAAAGATGTGAGCAACGGAAACGAGTCTGGGATCAGAACGCCATCTCCAGCTTAGCCCTTGGCTTCTGCCCCATTGTAATTGAGGTCTTATCCGTGCACGGAGCACGCTGTCCTCCATGTACCCACCTCACTGCCCCAACACTAGATAACACTATGCACTCCCCCTTAAGCCCCTCTTGGTGCCTTCTGCACGCTCGGACAATCCACTGCTGCCTTGGAGACAGCAGGCTATGTGTGCAGTAGCGGGGGCACTGGTCAGTCATGGCCCCTCTGTTCTGATGCCTACATGTGCACGACAGCCCATGCGGGCAGGACCCAGGACACCCCAGCTGGGCTTCCAGCTCCCCACAAGGGCCGACTGGCAGGCGAGCCTCCTGGCTTCAAAACAAATAAGCAGCAGTTGGGTCCTTGGCCCTGTCCCCCCAGAGCTTAAGCTTTAGCTGTTGCTTCACTAGACAAATGCTCCCAATTTGGCTGCTGGAGCAAAAGTTGAGTTTCACTAAAAAGGGATCAAAGGCAGAGTAATGAAGTGATGGACGATCTGAAAATCAGAGCACCCCCTTTTCTAGCAGTTCTGGGCAGGAAGGAGGCCAGGCAGGGGCAGAGGCTTTGTGATCAATAACAGTCTAATCAGCCACCAGATGAGAGGCAGATGCAGGGAGATCTACTTGGCTGCATATGAAGGAAAGCAGCCTGTTCTCAGGCCCCTTTGTCTGCAAAGCCAGTTTCCTGGCGAGTCCCTGGGCTGCTCAGAGCGCCTCGCTGGGAATAAGGGGCAGGCCCTTCAGTTACAAATGGGGTTAGCAGGCCTCAGGCCTCGCTGCACAACGATGGATCAGGTTTCCTGGGGGAAATGGTTTGACAGGACACCTGCCCTCGCCTGTTGGCTGGTGTG